AAATAATTTTTCGTAAACAAAGCAAATCTTTTGTAAAATTTATTAACAGCAAAGCTCTGGTTAATGAAATGCTTAAGGACTCAGTGATTATAAGTAACTTGAACAATATATATTACAATACTGAAATGCAAATTGATAAAGAAATACCTTTCTCTCTTCTTGAAAGTATGCTTGTTTTGTTATATTTGTGAGAAACATCAAATCAACAAGCGAAAAGCAAGCAAATCTTCTATAAGAACAGTGATTAAAAAAGCAACGTGCAGCAATGTAGTTGATCCATAAATTTGGTCTTGGATTCATCCCTGGTCTGCTTTAGAAGATACAAAACGGTTATTTTTATAGCCACAAATTTAATTAAAATATTATGGCTAAAACAACTTAGTTATTTTTAAATAAAAATATTGATATTTATGTTGTTGAATAAAAAAGAGTAGTTTTTAACAACTCTGATTTCTTTATTGCCCATTTTAAATATTTCTTACTGATAATATTTTTCTAGTAATTTTTTTATCCTCTAATATAATTGCTGGGGGAAAAACAAACAAACAAATTTGATTGTTATTAAAATAATTTTTTTTGCAAAAAAAGTTCTTTTTATAAGTTCTTGGTAAAACAATTATGGTTAAAAAATTATATTTAGTAAATGTTACACTTTTAGGCTTTTTTACATTTAGTAAGTGTTAAGTCTAATAGTGCAGGAAACTTCGGAAAATATAAAAAAAGTCTTATATATTTCCAAAAAAATAAAAACAAACAAGGCATCTTTTTTATTTATTTTTGTTAATGAAATTTTTTTTAATTATTTTTATTAATCCAGCTTTTTTTTGTATTAAACTAAAAAGTAGACTGTTCAATGCTGCCATTACTAAATGACCCAGAAAAAAATGCATTGACTTTGGTTAAAAAACAAAAGAACGTGATTATATAAATTTCTTATTTTTAAAAGTATTTCAAAATATTGTCATTAAAAAAAAATGAGTTCTTTTAATTTCTTTTTAAAGACTGGAAAACTAACTGATAAATCAAAATTAGGTAAAACGATTTTGTTTCAGAGATTAGGTGCACGATAAGCTATACAGAACTGGTTGAATTTTGTTCGACAAAAGGGTTCATAGAGTAAGTTATTATTTCTAGATCTAATGAAAGATTTCACTTAATTTATGCATTTTTGAAAAATTCTGATTGAATGATTTAAGTCTCTGTCCACATTACCTACATTAAAATATGTACACCTGATTAAGAAAAATTTAAATTCAATCCAAAATTCAAAATTTAACTATGACTTAAAATAAGGGCAAAAAATGCACTAAAGGCTAAATCAAAATGTAATCAACTTATAAAATTAGATTATTTGTCAGGTGCATGTTAGTAATAGACAATAGTAAAGTCGATTAGTAGCATTAATTATGAATAATTATTATAAAATAAACATTTAAAAATATCTATCCAACAAGGCTTAATGAAAATGAAGTTGTTAGTATAGGTCATATGTGATTCATTTTAGTTTGTTCCTGTTTTTGCTGCTAAATGTCACTTATTATGATCTTGTTTTTGAAATTTTTTTTTTTTTTAATACATTTATTTTGCTGCTTAACAATAAATAATCAAACAAAATCCTGATACTTACAGGGTAATATATATATATATATATATATATATATATATATATATATATATATATATATATATATATATATATATATATATATATATATATATATATATATATATATATATATATATATATATATATATATATATATATATATATATATATATATATATATACATATATATACATATATATATATACATATATTAGTTTATTAGTTTATTTCGCCGTTAAAAATATTTACAAAGTACAACAATATAAAAAGTACAATTGGCTGGAGCAAGAAGAAGGCATAAAATAGCCTTATTACCGAGCCCCAATAGTAACGCAAATAACTATCCGTAATATACAATAATCCGTAATATATAAGCAAAAGTATTTAAAAAAAGACAATTTGAAATGTTAAGAAACAAAGTTAAAAAAAAGAAAAAAAAAAAAAAAATAGTATTAAAATAATTGAAGAAAAATAAAAAAAATAAAAAGAAATGATTAAAATACAGTAATAAAAATGACAAAAATTTTCTGTTTTTGGTTATAAATTGGATGTGATTCGACATATATATTTGTATATATTATTTTCTTTCAAAATAATTCAAAATTCAAATAAAAATTCTGTTCCAATATTATAAAATATATCAAGAAAATTGTAGGTAACTTTAAGAGAATATATATATTCAATGAAAGTATGATAAAGACCTTGAAATTCTTAGTACTGTTAAATGGTCTAGATTTTTAAATTTATGGTGCTAATTTAGTTTAATAAATTTTATAGCTTTAAAAGTGACATTGAAGATCTGCTATATTAAAATCCGTAAGTACTAAATAACGTCTTAATTTAGATTTGAATTGCGGAAGTGTTTTTTCTTTAATATTAACAATATGCTGAAAGTTTTTCCACAAAATTGGACCCCTGTACTGAATAGAATAAGAACATAACTTTAGATTATACTTTTGAGTTACAAAGTTATTTTCTGAGAACTTGGTGGGGTATTTATGGCTTACTTCTCTAAAATAAGGATAGAATGTCTCTGGAGACAGTCCATGTTTTATTTGATACATGAATTGTATGACGAGGAATATGTTAATTTTAAACACATTTAATGCATTGGGTTTACGTAAAAGTGGCTCACAAGGCACAGATCTTTTCACTCCAAATACAATTCTACATGCATGTTTTTTTTTAGTATAAATTTTCTTTAACTTAGCGTAGCTGTTGCTTGCCCATACGATATTGCCGTAAGTTAGATAGCTATGTATGAAGGAAAAATATAAACTTATTATACATTATACGCTCGAGTAACTTAGAAAAGCATGGTAAAACTGATATTGGTCTATAATTTGAAGAATCTGTGACATCGCCAAACGATGATGAACTTGAAATTTCAATTTCAATTGATGGTCGGGGATTAATTATTTTTGTATGTACCAAATTTATTTTCTAATTAAAAATGTAACAAATGTAGTTTAATACGAATTCTTTAGGTTTAAAAGTTGTTTAACCTGTCCTGGTGAAACAACTATTAGTTGTTTAATTAGGACAGGTTAAACAACTTTTAAGCCTAAATAATTCGTATTAAACTACATTTGGTACATACAAAAATAATTAATTTAAACAAAAACAATAGTAAACATAATTATCCAGTAAAAAAACGCTTTTTTCGCTTTAGTTCAACTAAAGCGAAAAAGAAAAAAGCGCTTTTTTACTGGATAATTATGTTTACTATTGTTTTTGTTTAAATCTGAAACCAACATATGGTCATTTATAAAGCCTGATTTTTGCTTGGTAGAATTACAAAATGACAGTTAATGTGAAGTTAAAAATTATCTTTCAATATGTAGGTCCTTCTGCAAAAATAAGAACTTTAATTGGGTTTTTATAGTGAACAAGCCGAGGAAACAATTCAAAACATGTTATTAAAGAAAGCATGGGAACATTATAAAGTGTCTGACAACGATCGAAAGTGTTTGAAGAAAGCAATAGCTACTTTTGATAGAAAATATTAACTTGATGTTTAACAAAATGTTAACTTGATGATAAACTGTCATATGTCCAAAAAATTAAATTTTTCTTTTAAATTCGACCTTAATTTCATTTTTATCGCAGAAATTATTTCTCAATGCATTAGCATTATAATCAAATTTTACATAATTAAAGTAAAAACAGTGAAGTAACCCCTAAACCTTTATATTAGGACAGAGCGGCAAAATCTTAGTGCTCGGTGTAGTTAAGGAGATTTACAAAATATTTGAATTTACTTTTATTTGGAATTAGCATAGTTTTGTCAGCATATTATGCCCAAACAAGATCTTTAAGTGTTATAATTTTTTTTTGCTTAAAGTTTTTATAATATTTGAAGAAACTTTTCTTTTTTATATATAATTTTTAAAATCTTTTTACAACCCGTAATAATGTATCTAAAGAACACTATTTTGGAGTCTTTAGATCAATTTCGCTCATTGACATTAACATGAATTTAGTTAAAATCTTTTTAAAAAGTTACTTAATTTAATACTGATCCTAGTTCTAATCGGTTCTGAAGTATATTAACTATATATAGTTGTCAAAACATAATATTTCTATCAATTTTCACAAAAAATACTGGAATTCCGACCAAGAAAGAGCTTATAATTATAAATAATTGCCAATAAACGATCAGAACAGATCATACTGTTAAACTATAATGCTAATTTTACCTAAAAAACGTATTAATATAAAATCTTATTTAAATTTGGACGAGCGATTGTGATTTTAAGATTATTTAAAAAAAAAAAAAAAAGATTCCACGGTCTGGGTTTTTTCGCTACAAACATTTATATTTTATGATACCGCAAAATTTATTATTTTAGTTTTTTTCGTCTTTTCATAATTCACAGACCAGACCATTTCACGGAAATAAGTCATAATCAACAAAATATCATACAGACGCTATAATATTTAAAAAGTGCCTTAACTACACCGAGTGGCTTGATAATTTTTCTTTATACGACAGGTGAGTATGTTTTAACTCTTTTTAATAAGTCTAAATTTGACAACAACAAAATTAAGACAATTAATAGATAATATTTTTATATTATATTGATAAATATAATATAAAAATATAACCTATTTGCTTTAAAACATATTTACCAATAGCAAGTATTTGTTAAGAAGTAGCTTAATGATTTTTCACACAAACCATTCATGGACATATGTTCATGTAATACTTCATTGATGGCGTAAATTTAACGGTTCTAAAAAGGCATTACACGATTCTATGTCATTTCATCTAACAAAAATTTTATTCAGCAAGGGTGTGGCCTAAAAGTTGCAAAAATATTTCTTTGTTGGTATTTATTCATTGAGTGCAAAAGATAGTTTCGCTTTCTCGACAAGAAAAACTATTCAAGATTAATATATAAATTTATTGAGTTCATTAAGATTGTACGACTTGCTCCAAGTTTGTTTTGATAACGTTTAGATTAGTGACCCATGTCTGAAGCTTTTGTTGCAGTGACTCCCACTCATTTTTACCAAATGTTCTAAACCCAACCGATCTAAAAATAACAAATCATTTTAAATATACTACAAATCGTCATTATTAGGCGTCCCCTCTCGTTTATTAAGCACCTCAGAGTAATAAAATATAGTGAAAGAACAAAAGCTGATACTGCTGGATGTAAATTAATAGTATTAAGTCTATTATATTGTTATTACCGTAAATTATGTTATCATCAAAATAGAGTTAAGCCGGGAAAAATAATTATAAAAACAAGTTGTATTTTAATGTCTTAAGTGAGTTTATTCAACGCATTTTTGCTGACAACAGTCCCTGACGGCCAAGAGTAAAGATAGGACTGAAAGACATATATCAGGATTCTTATAAACCTTATATGAAAGCTTATAAAAGCTTGGAACGGCAAAATCACGTGTTAACAAGTTAAAATCAATACAGTTGGCAAAATGTTTAACATTTTATGATTGTATATGTTCATACGTTTATAATATTATCCACGAGGTAAGTAATGTTCTATCCATATTTTTTTATACATAAATTTAACATTATGTGAAATAAAATACTAAATACTATTATTATTTCAAAAGTTATTTTACATCAATTTATTACGCGTGGTTGCTAACTCCAACGTAAGGTTACATGTGCACACTTTTATTGCATAGCAGACTTAGCTGACTTATGTACACAAATTGCTGTAAATCGATTTTGTTTGTGTTATTAAGTATGCCAATCCAATGAAAATCAATTTCTTATTAAATGCCAAAGCTTATCTTTTTTATTCTTTTAATAAATGCCGAGGAGACCTAGTGATTTAGGACACCAAAGCAACAACAACAGAAAAAAAAAAAAAAAAAAAAAAAAAAAGTTGCGTTAAGCCAATGTGCCATACTACGCGCTTTGTGTGCTAGAGCCCCATCTTGCAGGAAAATGTATTGTAGATTTCTGTCATACAACTGCTTTAGCAATGCAATCTAGTGTGTTTTTGTTGGTATTGAATGATCCGGCTGCTATACAGCTCATGCATACCGAGGCCTTTGTGAGAAAAATATGCTTTTAAATAGCCTTCGCAATATTTCAGTTTCCAATCTTTTAACAGATTTTTCCTTCGCAGTTTACAACCTGATAGCTTGCTGAAAATCACTTTTTCCCTATCTTCTAGTACAAAAAGCAACTATTTGTGCCATTTTCTATCTTTTGCGTCAACCCATGATTGGCAGGATAGGTTTTTGATAAGACTCAATATCATTTACATTTTGATTAAAAAAGGATTGGTTGAATATTTTAGTTAACGTTTTGTTGCTGAGCCAAAGATTTGCTCTGCTGGTTTTGAATATGGTAGTTCAGTCATATTCAGAACATTTAGGTCACTAAACTCGACAGTCTTCCGGAATGAAATTCACGTCAGCTCAAAGATTTGCATTATTTTCACACCGTATATTCAGAATCACCCACAAGTTTGCCTGTTTCAATGTTGCTATGTTTATTGATGTGGCAAGCCCAATAATTTGCCATTTGATGATCTTTGACACCGTTTTTTGACCCATTTGTACTCAAAATAAAATTTGAAACATTGCTAGTTAATAGTTTACAACTTTTACATGGTTATTATTTATCAAGGCGTCAAAAAAGGTATAATTAATAAACAATGATTAGAATAAAACAATGAATTAAAAGTTTTATCCTATAGAGAATATAAAGATTAAATGATGAAAAAGTAAAAAACAAAGACACTTCAAACATAATAAAAACTTTTGAAAAAAAAAAAAAAAACTTAAATAAAAATTTAAAGTAATGATGTCATTAATAAAGTAATGAATAAACATACATTAAATATTATTGGCTAACATTTAAAAAATGTAATTTTATTCAAACAAATTTGATAAAACAACATCTAAATTAACATTTCAAAACTAGTAAATAAAAATCATTTTAGAATACCTTCAACATATACCAAAAATACTGCTAAACAATCATGTTCTAGGAACATCATTTAGGAATTAATATCTTAAAACTAAGAGTTGACTATTTCAGCATTATCGTAATGAAAAACTAAAAATTTTTTTAAACAGTCTGTCCAAATCTGTTGAAGTGAAAAATAAACTCAGATGCATTACCTGAGATTAGAGAATTGGTACCAAAAATGACAAATGTCTATTTTAATATTGACCTAACACTGCTCTATCAGAAAAACCTTCATTTGTGGTTTTTAGTTTTAATGTGTGAGCTTGATAAGATTCTCTAAAGATACAACTTTTGAGTAAGAAAATCTTTGTAACCTTTTTGTAACTGTTCATTTCATGCCAAACCATAAAGTTTATATTTTTGTAAAAACGATTGACAGAATATCTGAATATTGAATACTCTACGCTACCTCAAAATCATAATATTAACAGCTTAAATATAACGATCACATAACAGTTGTTATGACAGCACATGACAAATATTAAATTTGCATAATATTAAAAATATATACATATATATATATATATAAATTATAAAATATTAAAAATAACCTGATAATTATTCGTTCATTAATTTGATCAATTTTTGCATGAACAAGTCCAGATTTCACCACTAAATAAATTTTATTCAATTTAAATATAGAAATCTTTATTCAACATATAATATTTATGTTTAGTATTTAACATATATGTTAGTGGTTTACCATAGCTGATACAGATACAAATGCACAGAAAAAATCAGATCCTCATTAATTATACAATAATTAAATGGTTTAAAAATGTAAAACAAACTTTACAAATATTATACAAATTTTATTTTAAAATAATAAAAAGCATATCTTTATTAGGATTTAGAGCTGCTACACAAAAAAAATCCTAAACCCTTCAGTAATGAAAGAGTTTAATATTTTTATCAAGGATAAAAAATGTGCAAAAAAAGAAACAATTTAAAAAATAACAGACCAATAAAAAAAAAAAATAATACAAAAAAAGGTCAATTGTACCAATGCCAAATAATTGATGGATCAATAATATACAAATCCATAAATTAAAACTCTCTCTATCAACCTTCAAAATTAGGAAAAATGATTTTGGTAATAATTTGCCCAACTTAATCTGTTAGAGGTTGGCAAAAAAAAATGATACAAAGGTTTATTCATACAACATAGAAATGAGGTCGGCAATTTTTTGCCAACCTCAAACACTTCTAGGTTGGCAGTTAGGTCGGCATTGCCGAATGACAACTCTAATTTCAAGGGCTATATAAATATATATATATATATATATATATATATATATATATATATATATATATATATATATATATATACATATATATATATATATATATATATATATATATATAGAGAGAGAGAGAGAGAGAGAGAGAGAAAAATATATATTTTATATAATATACTATATATTTATATAATAAAAATATATACTTTATATAATACATTTATATACTATATACTATTATATATATACTAGTATATATATATATATATATATATATATATATATATATATATATATATATATATATATATATATATATATATATATATATATATATATATATATATATATATATCATAATATGTAGATACTGCTTGATAAACACTACTCTTCAGTCTAAGTATGTACTGAAATCCCCACCTACCCCTACTTCAGTATGATCTCATCAGTTATATTTGATGTAGAACTAAGTCTGCATTATAAGACGTGAAAATCAAGTTAAAAAAGCTACAAATCTTTTACATTCAATAACAAATTCTTCAAGATTGTCTTCAGTGAGACCTAATGTTTGTATAATTTTTTGATATGTTATTTCCTTTTCTTGATTTGCCAGTGATATCATTGTTAAGATTTTCATTTTTTCAATATTAGCCAAATGGTCTAGTCCTAAAAACAAAAGAAACTTATATTATTATGTATATATTATTATTATACTATATTATACTTTTATAATTATATTTAAGCTTTATTTACATATTTATGTATTATGTATTGTTTTATTTAACAAGCTTGTTGAATTGAACATACCAAAATTAAAAAAGATAAAAAGTTATATGAAAAACTATGTAAATGCTTATAATATACTTATATATAGTTTTAATATACTTTTATATAGTTTATTATAGTTTTAAATATTTAAATTTTATTTTATATTAAAGCTTGGGTTAAGTAAAATCGACTCGTTATTTCTCTTGATTAAGACGCTAAAAAAATCATACAGTATGTTATCATACAGAAAAGCAATTATTTATGTTTTAGTATTTCAGTTAAAATACTTTTTTTAGAAAAATGTTATTATTATTTAAAATGGCAACAAAATAGCAACAAGTACATGATGCAATTTTTCACGATCGAGTGAAAAATCCTAATTTGCCTCTCAAATTGATTGTAAAAACTATTAGATGTTCTAAAAGCACTGTGATTAGAACTTTAAATAAGTATTTGACGCTTAATACAATAAATAGAATGCCTGGAAGCAGCAACAACTTAAACATTAACAAAAACTGAAGATGAATGTTTTGGCAAAAATAAGGGCAAATCCTAACATTTCTGAGCAAGATTTGGTACTATAGCGCAAAATTAGCACACAAACAGCCTGGGCTATCAAGAAAAAGCATAAAACCAAGTTCTTCAAGATGTATAAACCAAGATCGCAATGCTGAAGAAAATTTAGCAGCAAGAAGTCATGCAGGAAAATTATACAAATTGTGTACAAAAAAAAAAGTATAATTATCGATGAAACTTATGTGAAACTAAATTTCAAAATGATTTCAGGACATCATTTTTATATGGGAGTCTCCAGGCAAAAGTTAAAACAATAAAACTAAAAAAATTCCTGCAAAAAATTATGGTTTGGCAAGCAATATGTCAATGTGGATTAAAATACAAAGTTTTGTCACTAATTCCACAATAAATACTGAAACTTATCAAAAAGAGTGTCTTAAAAAGTGCTTATTGCCATTGTGGAAGGTCCACAATGGTGATGCAATCTTTTGGCCTGACCTAGGATCTTGTCATTACTTCATCCAATTGAACAATTTTAGGCAATAATTAAACCCAAATTATGTAAAAAGTTTAGGTAAGTAAAATCAAGCACTAACTTTAAGAAGAAGTGGGATAAAACCACCATAAAGTATGGATCTCACCTACTGTAAAATCTTATGACTCCCATCAAGAAAAAATATTAGGAAATTTTGTTGTACTGAAGAAATTTAATTTTTTTCTTTATTCATTTTTGTTCTAGACTTAATAAGCATTCAATAAAAAAAAAATCAACTTAGTAGCTCATTCCAATCTTTTTAAATTAAAGATATAAAAAGCGCCAGTTTTACTTAACCCAACCTTTATAAATTATAGTTTGCACAAAGTAAATATTATGAAAAATTATAAAAAATAAAATTTATTATGTCTTTAATATAATCAGCAGGAAAAATAGTAGATTGCTAACAGTTATCTAACTAAAATTGACAAATAGACAACAACATTTCAAAGCAATTTTTTGCTGTTCAAGGTTAACCAGCACCTTAAATCAAATGATGACTTAACATTTTTACCCAACTTAGCAATCTATGTTTAAAAATTAAGTAATTTTAAATAAAGTTTTTTTTTGCAACTTAAGAATATTTATATCTAACAATGATAAATTTATACCTGATTTTTCTATAAAATCTGGATTATTTGTGCAAAAGGTATTGTAATCAGTGAGTTGCCCAGAAACAAATATTGTCAGCAACTTAAAAAAGAATGAATGGAAATAATTATTGTAATTAAAAAACTTACTTTAAATTGTAACTATAAATTATTTTAAAACAATTTAATTAACTTTAAGACAGGTATAAGCATTACAGTTACATACAGTTGAAAAGGTTGCCAGACCAATCAGAATTATGTAACTTCTTGATTCTTAAATTTAGAGTAAAAAATATTGACAAAGTAATTTTATTTTATATTAAAAACTGTATTTTAATCAAAAAATAAAGTCCATGTAAAATTTATTATTCAAAATAAATTATTATTTTGTCCAATTGAAATCTCCCCAAGAAGTTTGTAGATTCACAACACATTAAACTAAATGATTAAATGTTGATTCAACTTTTCTTATAAATTTATTTGATTAAAAAAAATATTATGATGTTCAAGTTTTTTTTAAATATGAAGATTATTTTACTTAATTTTTTAAATCAGAAAAATTTACTTCGTGTATTAGCTGCCCTTTAAGAGCAGATACAGGCTTCAGTTGAAGCAAATGATCCATAATAAAAACATCTGGTTTAGATATGAAGTCAATGATACATTCTACAGCATCATCTTTTGCTAGTGAGGCACATTCTTCATCATAGGTAGATAATAATTCCAACATAACTCGAGTCGCTTCATCGCTATAAAAAATATATGAAACTTTTAAATATTTAATTATAAATTATGGAAATAATTACTTTAAATGTTACAAAGAAATTCATAAATTTAATTTTCTTGAAATAGAAATGTAATACCTTCGATGTTCGTGCTTTAATGCTGCATGCAGTAATCTGTAACAAGTACGTTTCTCCTCCAATTCTACATTCCAAACTCCTAGCCATTCTTTGACCTAAAGCCAAACATGCAATACTATTCAAAGAGTAAAACTAAACATATAAATAAATATATTGAAAAATATTAAAAAAAAAATTCATTTCCATTAAGCTGCATGCATATTATTATTTTTAAGATTTTTAAGGAAAACAATAACAAAATTTGAGAGCAAGAAAACAGTTAACAGATAACTTTAAAAAACTGTAAAGTTTATATGCTATGTTAGAGAAAAAAATAGATAAATGTTTTTTGAGCATAAAAGAATAGTTACAGCAAATAGGTGCAAATCAAAGACTTATAGCTCTGTTGAAAGAAGAAGAGATAAAATCTTGCTTGAGCAGCAACTATGGTAGTATTTGTAGAACCTCACAAGTGGGACAGACTCAAGCTTGGCAACTAAGGCAGGTCCAATTAGGTTTACAATGAATGTAAGCAGGTTTATGTTTATGTTTACAATGCATATTACCTTGTTTAAAAGAGAAAGAACATTATTAGAAAAACTAACCCAAAACATGGTGATAGTATTTTATGCAAAGACAAAGAAAATTGCAAATGAAAAAGAAAAGTAACCTTATCAGATGATAACTTTGCAATGGATAAGATATATGGTTTCTATTTATGAAAAAATAATCCAAAAAGACATAAAGTGGAGGACTCAATAAAAGTTTTACCATTCATCAATGTAAGAATATCCACAATTTTGCAAGAATTATTACCAGTAAATAGCTGAAATGTGTTTGGGTTAAATTTCACCAACCAATGCAAGTCGAAAGCTACCACAGAAAAGTAGTCATATTTAAGATCAGTTGTTCTGAGCGATCAAAAATGAATTACTTTTTATTTGAATTATATAATTAAGTCATAAACAAATATTTTAAAGGTAAGATTATCAGGTATTGATATATGATGTATTGATATGCCATATCAAGCTAGCTTATAGAGACAATCAGCTTGCCAGACTACATAAAAAATCTTTGATGTCAAAAGCAATAGCCTATACTTTAACACTTCCATCTAATCTACAACTTTTTGTTATAACTGTTAACAAGTCAACAGTAGAGTGAAGTGATCAAAACCTGTTGTTATTATGTTATCAGATTGTCAAAGAGTTATTAGACTCAAGATGCTGACTCAAGTTGTATGACTTAAGATTAGATTTGTTATTTTATTATTTGATTTTATTATTTTGTTAATTAAAGAATCAAGTAAGAAGAAGTATACTGATTTGTTGATTATTTAATTAGAAATTAAAGCCGCACAAGAAGAAGAAAACCATGGGGTAGAATGAAGCTTGACTTTAAAAAAAGGGGTAAAGTGAGACTTGACTTAAAACCAATAAAATTGAATAAAAGTTTCTATAATTGCCTGAATCCTAACATAGAAGGCGCAATTTCGAGGTAGGAGACAAGAGTAAAAAGCTTCTTTTTCAAGTTACACTTTTTGTTGTTGTTGTTGATTTTCCATATTTTGTAAACACTTTCTCAAAAGTTTTTAATTATTTGACCTTCATAGTAGTCAGCATTTATAAAAATGTGTAAAATGCCACTTTTAAAAGTTTTTTAAAAATTATTAAATTTTTTTTTAACCCTTTAATGCATAGTTTAACAATATTAAACAATCCATAAAAGTAATTTTGAACAAACCTTTAAAAAGAAAAGTAAAAAATTACTTTTTTTAATTGTGTTGTCATCATTTTTGTGTGTCCAAATTTTATAGATAGCTGAAGTTGGCCAATATAAACATCATAACGCAAAGGATTATTGTCTGGCAGACCAATGAAAAAATTGTTTAATCTAAAAACAATTTTATATAAGTATTCTTCAGATTTTAGTTTGTAATAATTAATAATTTTCATGACAAATTATAATAAATTTTTTAAATATGGCTTCATAGACATATTTTAAACACCATCAGACATTTTTCATTTAGCAAAAAAAAACAAAAAAGATTAAGAAAATATAAAAATTATAAAAAACTGTTAAAAAAAGCAACATGAGAATCTCTATAGTAGTTCTAACTAAAATAAATGAAGACCACATGGGTAAAACCATAAATGTCCACTTTTTGAAAATTTCAAGTTGTATATATTTTCTTGATATTATAGTACTAAACTATTTTATTTTAAAAATTCATAACAAAAAACTGTTATGTTATAAGGTTCTATGGTTATTACAAAAAATGGGCAACTTTGAAACAACCACTATTGTCCAATGTTTACAGAATAAAAAGCACAGCTGTACAAGTTATTTATAACTAAACCAATGACAACAAAAGGAGAAGTCACATGACTAACTTTTATTCTTAAAATAATATGCCAGTTGATGTAAACAACATTACATTCACAAAAAAATATATTTTTAAAAATAAATAAAAAACAACAGTTAAAGGAGGTTTGTTCCAGATCTAAGATTGAAAAATCATGTGACAGGAATACCATGTAACTGTGTTAGTCTAAATTGTTTTGAAATTACAACAGAAGATGAAAATAAAAATAATATATTTTAAAAATTTAAAAAAAATGATGAGCAAGATTTGGATATTTCTTCCCCTATTTTTGTTATAGACAAAGCAGAAAATTAATAACAGAACCTTAACTCCATAGTTATTCATATAAGTGCTACCTGAACATTTTTAGAGATTTTATACATAAACCTATATTTAATTTGACAGAAACACAAATATATATATATATATATATATATATTTATATCAAAAAAATTTGGGCGGCAGTACCCCCTCATTACATAAAAATTTAGCAAAAAATCAGTGCCCAATCGGCACCTAAATCGGTGCCCAAATACAGTTGAAGCTATCGAAAACACTCTAGAATATCCCCTGATATATATATATATATATATATATATATATATATATATATATATACACACACAAAATAAAAATAGACTCAATAAATTATCTGATTCTAATGCTGCTATAAATATGTTACAAAATAAGAATGCTTTAAATGCATCCAGTTCTACAAGAGAAAAGCTGAAATGCTTTATTAGAAAAAAAAGAATGTCTTAAAACTTAATACACTTTTATTTGTGATGTAATCTGCTTGGATTTGAAAAAAAGCTCTGAAATGCCTAATCAATATTTACACTATTTTATTTTTTCAATACTCATATACTTTTAACACAAAAAGTATGTTTTTATTGCAATGATGAAACTTATGTGCTGTACACATGACCTTTGCAAATCAAAAAATTTTAACTAACACCAGAAGATTGGAAGAGTGTTTTTCTGAAAGTTTTTAAAGACAAATTTCTTGGTTGTTTGTCCATTTAAGATATGTTCATTAATAATTCAATTGTTATTTAATTATGTATGATAATTATTTAAGTATGTAGGGAAAACTAGAAATATATAATTTTGTGTGTTACATCCCATATGACAGTGCCTTGACAAACTGAAACAAGCACACATAGCTTTGTTGCCTCTTACTTGTTAAAAATTCAAAGACTTATTGAAGTTAAACAAATTCTAAGTGAACATAATAAGACAAAAATAATTACTTGATCAATTGCTAATTATATAAACTATAGAGAAAGATCTATTTAATATTTATTAAAAAAAAGCATTTATTTTTATTAACATTTAGTTCACAATGGGGTGTTTGTCTGGTTAATACAACTTGATACAAAGTGATGGATTACAGTCAGTATGCTAAACAGATGAAGTTGGGGAAGAGATAAGGTTGTATTGATAATTTTTATTAATTTTTTTTTTAAACATCTTTGCTTCCAACAAGGTTGCAAGCAACCACTAATTAGTGTTGGAAGTTACTGGAAGAGAAAAGATGAAGATTGTAGAGTAAGATAATGATTGACAGACGACTTAAAAGATTACAAACTATATGAATCAGCTTTACCACATAAATTGAAAAAAAAAAACTTATAGAAAATGTGTTTATTTCATATGACTGTTTTTTTAATCCATCCAACTATCAAATTTGAAAAGGTTAAGTAATGTAGTAAGTCCTAAATGGTATTATCTACATATTTTAGACATTTTTGAACAAACGAGTCTATTTTTAATAAAGTTCAAGTTTCTTAAAACTAATTGTAATTTAGAAACTGACAAAAATTTAAGTAATTATTTGATAAAACATTTTTACTTATTTACATAAAAAAAATTGTTTTTACTTTTGTATTACCAAAATTGCTAATTTTCATTTGCATTTAAATGGTTAAAGTTATATTTGATAAACCACCAGTAACCACCTGGTAAGTTGAAAGGTCAACCATATTGTCGTTTTACTTTTCAAAATTTTTGTTTTAAGAATAAATTAAAAATTTTCTTAAACCTTTTAAAAGTCTGCTATAACTGTTTTCAAAATGATTAAATATTTTAATATTATATAAATTACTGAATTTTTTTTTTCTATAGGTGTTTTAATTTATATATATTTTGTTTTCTACTTTTTACCATATTTTATATCTATTTTGTTATTGGGCAATTTCATGTGAAAGCATCCAATTTTTTTATAAAATGCAGCCCTCTAAGTCTCAGATTTTGCTGATATTTACACCATTCAAAGATTTTAATAAGTTATGAACATTTCCAAAATTTTATCATCTAATTCCAAACAGTTTCAAAGATATGACTCTTCAAACTTTGCCTTGAACCAACAAAAATTGGCTATTTTGAAAAATGGTTTTGGTCATTGTTTCTGTTCTGTGTATGGAAAGCTGAAAATATGTACACTTACATATTTTGAGGCAAGAAATCCAATAAAACAACTTAAAATATTTAAAAATAAACATAACACCTGTAATTTTGATCATTATCGCAATTTTACTTGAGCTAGTTTAATTACGAAAATGCTTGATTTTTTTTAAATTTATTTTTTTAGATGTCGTTCTAAATAGTTCAGTTAGAGTTATTACAAAGAATTATGAAAAATGAAAGAAAAAAAAAGGTGGTACTCTTAAGTGCATAATACACAGCAATTGATGTTTAATACTTTTGGAAAAAATTTTCCACACACCCTGAGCTTATTAAGACCCCCTCTCCTGTGTGTTAAATTTTACTTGTTACACACAAAGAAACTGTCTGAAAAAAAAATTTCAGTTATTATTTTCTAATTTTCAAGATTCATTTAGGTCTTAAAAATTAGAAAATATAAACTTATAGGAAGAAAAAAGAGGTTCCCACTCACCTATTTGTTTACCTCTTCTTCTTGTTTTCTCACCTCTCCATTTATTACACTTGGATAAAAGTTCCTATCCATCATTTTATTTTTATTTCACATTGTGTTAAGCAACTGAGAATAACTTGACAGTAATGAAACTGAAAAAGTATATAAAATTGTTCCTTTACTTGTCGCTGACTTTCTAAAGTTTTAATGTAGGTGAGTTGAATTAAAAAATGCAGATGTATAAGCTCTTTTTTTTTTAGTTAAAATTTTTTATTTTCAACGTCTTGAATAATTTAGTTAGAATTATATTAATTGGGTTGTGGTTTTTCCTAAAAGAGAAGTAAAAAACATTGTCAAATGTAAATCATTAGTAGATAATTTTAATGAGGAAATTTAGAATCATAATCTGACTTTTTTATTTAATGCTTCTAAGAATTTTATTAAAGTTTTATTACTAAACTAAACAAGTTTTACTTACTAAATTAATAGTTATGAATAATAAACAGTTGCTTTTTTATTGACCAGTGGCCAACATTTGGAGGAAACAATTATTGTAAAAAAACAAACAATATTTAATAAAGTTGTTACCATTAATTTCTGTATTTAATTATTTTATCACTCTCTAGATTATATGTGCCACAATGTGTTTTATATGATGGAGCATTTATTTTATTTTATTTGGGATTTAATAGTTTATAAAATTGAGCCTAAAACCTAATTCACAGTCAGAATGTAATAATCATTAGAATATCATAACAGATATAAACAACCAACCTTTGTTTTTTTCCCTAAAATTATTTTAAAGAAAATAGTTCTCACAGCAATAAGCAAAGGACTTTCATTTAGGCAATGCACTGCAATAGTGTTATTGGCAACTCAGAAGGTGATGTTTCTAATAGTGCCCTATCTTTTTCAATTGTTTTTAGAGTTGTGAGGAAGTTGTAAATAAAGGAAAAGAAATGATTATAAAGCATACTGGTCAAATAATCAAACAAAATTTAGCCTTATAAACTTGTTAAACTCTTGCAATCAATAGCCAAATCAAGTTTTTGTTCACATGTAATAAATGAGGGGAGAGGAGGGGAGAGAAAGGGGAAGGGGAAGGAATGGGGTATTAATAAACAGGAGAGTAGGAATTTTTTTAATTCTAAAAATAAGTTTATACTTTTTAATTTTTATGACCTGAATGGTCTCAGAAATTGGAAAATAATTAATAAAAATTATTTTTTGTTTTTAGTTTTGAAATACAGTTTCTTTGTTCACAACAAGTAAAATCAGGGATTCGAATTCCTACAAGGACTCCGGCTTTATATCTTTATTTTTTCCTGGTCTCTGGAGTTTAAAAGCTCTAAATACGTTGGTTGACTTATGATCTACGAAGAGAAAAACACAAGATTTAATAGCTTGGAAGTTATTGTTTCTAAGCCTAGAACCCTTGCTGGAATTATATCTAAAGGCTGCTTGTGCAAAAACTAAAAGTTTTTTTAATTAATAGTCCATAAGCTTTTTTATATTTTTAGAGCTCCTAGATACTAAAAACTAGGAAGAAATCTTTTTGCAACTTCCAACCAGAGTCTTTTTTGGGATTCTCCATCCCTGAATAAAATTCAACGGGGGAGGAATAAGCATAGAGTGGGTGGAAAAATTCTTTAGAAAAGTATTAAACATCAACTGCTGTGTATTATGCAATTAAGAGTACCACCTTTTTTTTATTTTCAATTTAACAAATTGAAAGGAAAAAAACATAACTTTCAAAGTTACAAATTTAAGTAAATTTGACCTTTTTTTTTCTGATTAAGAAAAGACCACTCTCCAATTCTTTGTAATCTAACTATTCTTTGTAATCTCTAACTAAACTATTCAGGAACAACATCTAAAAAAATAAATTTAAAAAAAAACCGAGCTACATCGGCATTTTTGTAATTAAAATTGCCCAAGTAAAACTGCGTTAATGATCAAAATTACAGATGTTATGTTTATTTTTAAATATTTTAAGTTGTTTTATTGGATTTCTTGCCTCAAAATATGTAAGTGTACATATTTTCAGCTTTCCATACACAGAACAGAAACAATGACCAAAACCATTTTTCAAAATAGCCAATTTTTGTTGGTTCAAGGCAAAGTTTGAAGAGTCATATCTTTGAAACTATTTGGAATTAGATGATAAAATTTTGGAAATGTTTATAACTTATTAAAATCTTTGAATGGTGTAAATATCAGCAAAATCTGAGACTTAGAGGGCTGCATTTTATAAAAAAGTTGGATGCTTTCACATGAAATTGCCCAATAACAAAATAGATATAAAATATGGTAAAAAGTAGAAAACAACATATATATAAATTAAAACACCTATAGAAAAAAAAAATTCAGTAGTTTATATAATATTAAAATATTTAATCATTTTAAAAACAGTTATAGCAGACTTTTAAAAGGTTTAAGAAAATTTTTAATTTATTCTTAAAACAAAAATTTTGAAAAGTAAAACGACAAGATGGTTGACCTTTCAACTTACCAGGTGGTTACTGGTGGTTTATCAGATATAACTTTAACCATTTAAATGCAATGAAATTAGCAATTTTGGTAATACAAAAGTAAAAACAATTTTTTTTATGTAAATAAGTAAAAATGTTTTATCAAATAATTTCCTGAAATTTTTGTCAGTTTCTAAATTACAATTAGTTTTAAGAAACTTGAACTTTATTAAAAATTGACTCGTTTGTTCAAAAATGTCTAAGATTTGTAGATAATACCATTTAGGACTTACTACATTACTTAACCTTTTCAAATTTGATAATTGGATGGATTAAAAAACAGTCATGTGAAATAAACATCAAGAATTTGTGCTTGTTTAATCCATCAAATTGACAAAAGTATACAAACACAACTGATGATATAACAAAGAGTTTCAAAAAAACATAACTTAACAAAAATTGTTACAAAAAAGCAATTTATAAACCATATTAACCAAAACATAAAATTAATCTACATATCTGCAGCAACTATATTTTCTGTATTGTTTGGTTTGGCTGCAATCAAAAAAAAAGTAAGAATTTTAAGTCTTTCAAAATACTATGTTTTAAAACATATTTTTTTATCTTGTTTTAAGTCCCAATATTGACTTGACCAGGTTTTAGCCACCTGTTGAGGCAAAGATTGGTCTGATAAGTTTAAAGCAAAGATTGATCAGATAAGTTTAGGTACAATAAACCTACTAACTTCTTACTAAGCCCAATCATTGTATTTGTATAATCTTGACCAATCACAATTATACCTTGATCAATTTCTCTAGAAACCATCCAGATATAAAGTTTGATGTTTTAATTTGTATTAAAACATGCTAATACTACAAAAAATTTATTTAACAGTTAGATGATCTCCTACAAAAAACATAGAACTTAAAGGTTTTTTAAATTATATGTTTACAACACTTAAATCTTTGAGATTTCCTATTTATTTGAAAAACATTTATCAAGGTAATCATAAAATAGCAAATTTACTTAAATAAGTTGATCTAATACTAACAATAATAATATCAATAATTATAATAATAACAATGAATTTAATGCTATAATTTAAAAAAATAACAATTAAAATAAATTAAAGTATAATAGCTTTATATATAAACTTTTTAAAACATGATACTTTATTCATCTTTTTTATTACTCGCTATAAAACAAATAAAATTATAGTAGAATATTTTGCTGTAAATATGTAGTTTTGTTTTCAGTATGAAAGAATGTCATCTAATCTCTAGCAGATTCTTCCATTAAATATTGCATTAAATACTGTAATCGAACAGCTGCAAAACATTTAAAGCAACACAGTTAATGTCATATGCCAAAGAAATATATAATACTTTGCATTACTAGATTACTTATGAGTGACACATTATCTATCAGTTGCACAAGAATATTATCCCAAATATTAAAAAAAAAAAAAAAATTCACTACATTTAGAAAACACCAATTAAATTAATTTCTGAAGCACATGTTTGTGGTTGTAGCTATGAATAAGTTTTGCTATATAAATTATAAATAACAAAAAATTTCCCATGTTGTAATATTAATATGTCAATATTTTGGTATGTAATGTTCCCATATAATTTGTTTTTAACAGATTTCACCTCCAGATAAATATTTATTTTCCCAAAGAAAAAGTAATCTTACAATTTAATACGTAATAAAGCATTATTTTCTGATGCTCCAATATCAGTAAGCTTTAATATGAATTTCTTCGTCAGCTTGGCATCATTTGCACAAAAAAGAATCAATGAAATAAAACTATTCATCATTGCCTCCAGGTCTTGAAAAATAAAAAGTAATAAAAGAGAAACAGTAAAAAATAACAACAATTAAACTAAGCAAACATACTATTAAAAAACTGATAAAGCAAAAATACTATTTTGTAAATTTATGAAATCTACAAAAAAATACTTAGCTTTAATACACACACACAGACACACACACACAAATACACACAAACGCACACAATTATAACAAATATTTTATATGTGAAATATAGATCATTTTTTTACATTAAAAAAATTTACTGAGCTTAAAAAATATATTTACCAGCATCGCTGGCAGACTTCAACCAGTTATCACAAGCATCTAATAAACTTGATAGCTCGTCATGAATATTTTCCTTACTATAATCACCAAGATCTGCTCCAGCAGAGTTCAAATATTGTCGTATTTCTTTAGCCTGTAAAAAATAAATTCAAAAAAATGTATTAAATGATATATATCTGAGAAACTAAATCATGCAATACCATTGGAATTGAAAAAAACCCAAAGACCTTAAATGCTTTATTTTTATGTGTTATAAAGTAAACAGCAAACACAAGATTTCAAAATTGTAATTGTTTTTTGTTCAGTGTTTTTTAGATTTAAAACAGTTCTTTTTTTCAAAGTTTCGTAGCAACTTTTTATGAAATGCAATTTTATAAACTAAGAATCAATAGATAAACAATAAATAAAAATTAATAGTAAACAAAAACAGATATATATTAATAATAATAACAAAACTAAAACAACAAAAAATCAATGATAAAAATAATAACAGCAATAATAACAATATAAATTATTATTTTTATTATTACTTTATTATTATTCTTATTATTATTACTTATTTGATTCAGACAACAAACAAAATGCAAGGTCAATAATTAAAATAAATGTAATTAATAATTCAGTATATTGAATATACAGCTGCTTTGCTAGGGTATTTTATCTTGCAATGCGCGCGCGCACACACACACACACATACACACACACACACACAAAAGCATATATACATACACATACATACCTACACATATACAAACACACGTATATGTATAATATAAACTTTGTATTCCTATGCTTTAAAATATATATATTTTATAATTATTTTAGATTTATTTACATTTTTCTAATTGCTTGATAAACATATTTAATTAGTTTAGTATAAGATTTTTTAGTTTTGATCAGTAGAGAGTTCCAAAAATAAAACGAAGTGTTCTTTTATATGTGATACCATTCTTTTTACATACATGCTGTATCTACTTTGATGGTATTGCTAAACTAATACAAAAAGCTGATCTATGATTGTGAATAATATTTGTAATCTTGAATTAATTGTTGAAGCCCATTGGTATATTTTTGAGTACAATGTCTCAAACAAAGACCATACAAAGCAAATAGATCATTTAATATAATTTCATAACTTTGGATATACTAGATAACCTATATAGTCAAACAGTCATACGATAGTCAATCAGAGCTAAATTTTTTTGTTGAAGGTAGATTATCTTATAAATTTATTTTGAAAACTTGTTTTTCATTAAAAAAAAAGTACTTGTTTGAAAAAAAGTTGGATTAAAACGTAACTCTCAAACTTCGAAACTGAATTAGAAAAATATATAATGATTTGATAAATTGTATAATGATAAGATAATGATTTACCTGATCTTTTTCAGGTAAGTCTATAAACACAGGTAATGAGCTATCCATTATTTAGGCTAAAGACCAAACAAACATGGGTCAAGAAAATACTTCTTTTCGTGCGCCGCACGTGAAGATAAAAGAAACTTATTTACGTGACTGTACTACCATTTTTATCATTTTTAAAGATTTCGCAGAACATTTCAAAAAATTGGGGTTTTCACTAGATTTTTTTTGAAATGCCTTAGGGTTAAGTGTTTTTTGAGAAACTTTATTGAAATAAAATAAAATTTCTAGAAAAACACTTTTAAGCCAAGCTAGAAGAGTGCAAAAAAGTAAATAAAGAACAATAGTATCTACCATATAGTGACGGGAGGAGAGAGAAAGGGGTGTTAAAATATTTTTGGTATTTTTTATCAAACTTGTGTCTCCTAAAATATTAAAAAAAAGGTCCTCCATTTCTATGATATTTTAGAACTTTTAGATTCCGGTAAGGAGGTAGGGGCAGATACATCCCCATCCCCCACCCCTTAGTTTTTGATTAAAACTAGCTTACTGAAGGACTTATCATTAGAACTTTATTAGAATTCAAATTTATTTGAACTAAATTGGCGTAAAAATTTTTTATGATTTGGTATACCAGAATTGTTCTATTTTCCGTCATGAATCGAAAATTTGGACCAATTTTTTTAAACCAGTTTCACTACATAAGATTTACTGGAACTACAAGTTAGTTTAAAAACACCTGGTTTTGATGTTTTAATTTTATCTTTTTAAACTATTTGTTTTGATTTATATTTTTCGTAGCCATTTTTGGCGCACTCTTGTATTAGAAAATCAATTTCTTGTTGTAAAATTTTTTACGGCAACTTTTATATGGCCTATGAATAAAACTAGTAAAAATACCTTTAAGAATTTTTGGATCATTTCCTAAATTTAGTTTAATTTGGATATTAGTAATTGCATTTTTTCTGTGAACCTTGAACTCGAACTGGCTATTTTTGTAAGTAGTAATAATAATACCTAAAAAATTGAGTAATTTATTTTTATCTCCAAGTTCCGTTGTAAATTTAAGGTTGGTCATTTGTTGTGCCAAAAAAATACATATCTGTACAGAAAATCTTTTTTAAATGTTTTAGAAATTGATAAAATGCTTGAATTTTACCAATTTGAATTGAGCTTTCAGTAATATTCCTTGGTAGAGATACAGAGAAGGAATTTAAGATTCAGCCTCCAGGTGCTATGTACCCATTCTCGATAAATGGCGAGAGCCATTTCTTCGTTAAAAGTATTATTACTAAGCTCCCAATTCAGAATTTCAAACAAAGATAAGGTAGCTCTGTTGGATGTCTGTCTGTTTATCGTGACATCCTACGCCAAATTCTGGCGTCTTACCAAATTTTGGTATGTCTTATATGTAAATTATGCTTCGTTTTTCTTTTATAGTTTACCATACGATTGATAACAGTTCCTTCTGTTTTAATTTCAGAAAAAAACATTGATGACTTCGTCACTGTTAAAAGCAAGTTTCTATTTAATCGACTCAAAATTGATGATAGTTTTCTGAAGAAGAGCCCTTCTTTATGGTCAAATGATGATTTGTACCAACAAGCTAAAACAGAAGCACTTGTTACTAAGAGCAGTTAACTATTCGGCAGAAAGAGCGGTAATGCAAGAATTTCATGAATCACTGTTAAAGAGGAGCAAAACTTTTGTCAAAAGCAATTTTTATTAAGTTACAAGAACACAGAAACGTAATTCCTCATTGTAAAAAAAGATCACAGAAACGTATATCCTGATTGTAAAAAACAAACTTTAAAAAGAAAATTTAATGTGTCTTTTTCTATAAACACACAATAAATATTATAAATGTGTTTTATTTACTGAATATAAATAATGCACTCTACAATGTCTCTATACATCCATACTAACTTTTCAGCTTAAACTTTGACGTCAAGTCGGCACGGGTTATCGTTATCCGATCTAAATAGTATTTAATATTTAAGTTTTTGGATTGGGATCACTTGGAATCACAAATTTGTTATAGTCATAACTTTCATATAGTCATAATGTTTAAAGTTTGTGACATTTAGAAAAAATTTTATTCATGTCTGTCTTAAAATCTTTTTATAAAAAGTTTTTTTTTTTTTTTTTGTTAATTCACCTTCCCAAGGCCGAGAAGGTAACTACAGACGAAGAGGCTACTTAATTGTAATTTTAACCCTCTCTAAACTCTATAACTCCGAAACACTACAAGGCCGCTGCTTTAGAAGCAATACACTGCGCGACATAATGATAAGACACCCCAAAAAATTAATAAAACTCTTCTACACATTTATATTTAAAAACTGATTTTTATTGAAATGAGAGCAAAAAGATTGCAATTCTAAACAACATTAAAAAAAAATTATTTTTAACGTAACTCGCATTTTATTAAAAAAAAACTGTTTTTTAGTGCGACAAAATTATGACACTTTCGGAAAAAATTCATATAAATTGTCATTTATGAAAAAATACGTCTCAATTTTAAAAAATCAATAGTGGATACTTTTATCATTTTTTGAATCATTTCAATCATTTTAGAAGGTAAAAAATCGTACAAGTTTTTTTTGTGCGAAATGTCAATTTCATCTCATGCAGATGCGATGGATTATTTCAAGTCAGCTAGTGAACTATACTGTTTACCACCTTCAAACACTATATATAGATGAATTGTTTCAAGTCTAGATGGATTAGTTCAAAGTCCATGCGATGGATTATTTCAAGTCAGCTAGTGAACTGTTTACCACCTTCAAACACTATATATGGGATGAAATTGACATTTCGCACAAAAAAAAGTTGTATGATTCTTTACCTTCTAAAATGATTGAAATGATTCAAAATATGATAATAGTACCCACTATGGATTTTTTAAAATTGAGACGTCTTTTTTCATAAATGACAATTTATATGAGTTTTTTCCGAAAGTATCTTATAATTTTGTCGCACTAAAAAAACAGTTTTTTTTTTCGTGAAGCATCTGTCATGACAGATGCTTCACGTCTTAAAAGTTGTTAAACAATTAAAAGATAATCCTTAGCCTTCATTTTTCCGTCAATAAAATGAATTTTTGATTTACCATGATACCCAAACGCACACCAAATCATTACACCACCGCCACCTATTTGACGTCGTTGCTGTGTTGCTAGTTCTTTACGCAAACCGTGAAAGTAATAATTACATCTATCCGGCCCATCAAAACAAAATCGTTTTTACACAGAAAATACTACTCGTTGCCACTCTACTTTCCATGTTACATGGTCCTTTATAAAAGTTATTTGATCGTTTATGTGATTTATTGTCAAAGGTGGTTTTCGCTGACGTTTTTTGCGCGAAAGGTAAAAAGCATTATGAATAACTCACTGAAATGTACGTAAATTAGCAATCGTATCTGCTTCTACGGCAATTTGACGTGCAGTTAATGAAGAATTTGAAACTTGTCTCAACAACCTTCACCTATCACGGTCACTTAATGTTGATGGACGTCCGGAACTTTATTTTATTCCATACATACGAGGACTATTAACGTAGTTTTTAATCACAGTTCGGCTGCGTCCAATAGCTCTAGCCATTGTTTTGTGTAAAATTGTCTTATAATTTTGCCGCACTGAAAAAATTGTTAATGTTTTTTAAGACCAAAATGCTGGTCAATAACGGACGCTTCTTTAGATTAGTTATTATGACTTTTTAAATAGTCATTAATGAGTTTTAAAAAGTCATTAATGAGAATAATGAGTTATTGAGCAACTTTTTAAATAGTCATAACGACTAATCCAAAGAAGCTATGCAAAGCTATGCTATTCCTATGCTAAGTTAACAATATCTTCGGATATTAGAGGATTATACAGCAAAATATAGTATCAAATTCAAATAAAATAAACAAAAATTTATAGTTTTATGTAATAAAAAAATAATAATTTTATGCATTATATTTGTCAAGTATCCGCACTTTCAACTTTAAGAGCTGACCGCGAAAAATCGCAAAAAATTTTTTTTTTGTTTCTATATTTTTCCTAATTTTTGATTTCTTTTTACGAATTATACTTTGTAACAAAAACGAAAATAACGGTTTCGTCCAAAAGTTAAATAAATTTAAAATAAGTTAAATTAAAAGCTTACAAATAAGGCGATGGAGGAAGACGAAGAAAACAGCATTAAAAAGTTTTCAGCAGTTGTAAAAAACATAGAGCGATATATTTGTAATAAGTCGTTTATTTTGAAGGATATAAGTCCAAATACTGATGTATTTGATGTTACTTTACGAACTAAATTGAGACAGGGAAAATTCATTCTTCACCCATCACTTAATAACATAATAAACAGACGACTGCTGAAAATAAATTCTTATGTTATTGTCACTAAGTACAATATTTATGCTGATGAAATGGGTTTTTATGCAAATAAGAGTGTTTATATAATAAAAGAAATTAAAGTGTTAGATTTTGAAGGTAATGACACACTACCATCAGATGAAAATTTTCCTGTGAACGCTTTTTTTTCAAGTAAACCATTAGCGAGTTTGCAAGGATATTATATGCATTTTTATATAAATGAAGAATGTTATGGTATTATATGGAAAGAAAACAATTTTAAAATAATGGAACCAAACATACTTTTATCAATTGACCAATTAAACATTCAGTATGTAAATAAAAAAATATTTAAGCCATATCACCCTGTTTATGGCACTGTGATTACAAAATCTAGATTGACTTACTATGGAAAAAAATGCCCTACTGTCAAATGTCCATATTTGTTTTCAATAGAAATAGAAAGTAACGGTGTTTCATGCAGTGTTAGTTTTTGGAGTACATCTTGTTTTTCATTTTTCAAGTCTATCAAAGTTGGCCAGGTTTTAGTTTTTAAAAACTATTCAATTAGAAAAAGATATGGTATACGATCTAACACAGTGTTTAGCTGTAGCAAGTCAGCTGATATTGAGCTTACAATTAATCCAGAAAATCCTGAAGGAGAAGTTGGTCTTTCATCTCACAAGCCTTCTGTAATACTATACAGGTTAGTTTAAATATGAGATATGTCAAAAACAACAATAATAAAAAATTCATTAAAGGTGATTTAAATTATTGGTTGAAAATTACATAAAGTTTAATTTTGGGCATGAATGTTTTTGTAGTTGTAAAAGGTTTTATGTTTGAATATAAATACATTCCTTATAGTCATGATGCTCTTTTTTTTTCTTGATGCTTTAATTATTATATCAGTTATTTTTATATTTTGTGTGTCTTTTTATAAATTAAGTTTTTATAAATTAAGTTTTTTAATTAATTATAAATTAAGTTTTTTATAAAATAAGTTTTTTATAAATTAAATTTTTATAAATTAAGTTTTTTAAACATCTATATTGTTTATAATTAATTAGTATTAATTTTATGGTTTTTTAAACAATAGTTTTTTTAATTTTATAACTTTAGGTTTAAAACATCACTTAACAAACATAAAGTTGTTAATGAGCAAATTTATGATGTTGTAGGAGTTGTTGTCTATATTGGGAGACCACAGCGAGAAATAGCAAATCCTGAAAAATCTGAATCTGTTAGTTTTTGGAGTTTCAGGTGGATTGAATTAAAAACAGGTTAAAATTTATTGTTATTATTATTGTTATTGTTATTAATATATATAAAATCCCATATATTCAAATCAGTGTATTTTCATAAAAACATTTATTTTATAGTATATTATAAAGTAAGCAATCCACACTACGCAATTTAATTTAAAAAAAAAAAAATGAACATAATTATAAGGGTGAATAGGACAATTAACAACTAATTGTGATTTCTGCAAAATGTCAATGTAACATAAACTATATTGTGATGATAATTAATATTATACTGCGCTAAGTTATAAATTAAGGTCTTATTATAAATAGTTACCCTAAACATCCAACCAAATACATTTGGGTGGTTGACTTCTTCTTTTTTATATTTTTATAAGGATTAAAAGTAAGGAAATTTTTTTTTTTAGTTTCAGAATTCAATTCAAATTTTTGATTAAAAATTATGATTCACAAGAGGCTAATAATATATATATATATATATATATATATATATATATATATATATATATATATATATATATATATATATATATATATATATATATATATATGTATATATATATATATATATATATATATATATATATATATATATATATATATATATATATGTATATATATATATATATATATATATATATATATATATTCCAATAGATATTTATATATGGTTTTGATTTAGTTAAGTTTTGTTAAAAATTAAGCTTTGAGGGTGGTCTTCTAATACAATGTAGACAGTTAGTTTTAACTAGTAAGTTTTGGGTAGTAGTGACGTCAGGATATTGAGTTATTGATGGTGTAATATTGGTGTTAGTAGTCGTTTTATTTGGAGAAGGTAAATCATTGGTGGCAGATGGAGGATGGCAATCAGTTGGTAATATCAGGTTATTTTCATCGGTTTCAAAGTTATTGCTAATGTTTGTAGCTGTTGAACCGTCTTCTTTGGGTGAAATTGATGTCTCAAAGGTTTCGGGTGGTTGGATTATTTCTTTAATGTGGGGAGTGACACATGGTGCTAGATGTTATGTTGATACAGTGTCAGTTCTGCTATTCATATATATTATACATGCATAGTGTGGTGATACAGTTTCAAGCAAAGTGACTGGTTCTACCAATGAATCTCCTTTCAATCGAAGGTGATTTTTATGTAGGACAGTACTACCTGATTCTACTAGGAAGTCAGGTAGATCAACACCAGTAATAGTTGAGCGTTTGAAACCCATTAATCTATTGTGTGGACTAGAATTTGTTGAAGTGCATAGTAGGGATCAAATAGAGGATAGAGCTGCAGGGAGTACCAGTTCCCAGTCAGTTTTTTCTAGTTCAAAACTTCGTAAAGCTAAGTTTATTGTTTTCATAATTGTAGAGTTTAGTCTTTCACATTACCCGTTTTCTTGTGGTCGATATGGTGTTGTTTGTGTCTTGCTGACACCGTTGCCTATAAGAAAGTTTCTTAGTTTTCTTCCTTCAAACTGAGTACCACGATCGGAGTGAATGCAGGCAGGGGTGCCAAAGAGCAAAAATATTTTTAAAAGATGTTTTATTACTGTATCAGAGGTGATTTGGGAGCATGGAAATGCAAATGGGTATCTGGAATATTCGTCAATTATGACTAAAAAGTATTTTTTTGCAGTTTTTGATGGAAGAGGGCCAACGAAATCCATAGCGAGTCTTTCCCATGGTCTAGTAGAGGAGATCAGTTGACCAGGCGGGGGTTGAAAAAATTTAGGTTTGAGCTCACAGCATACCTGGCAGTCAGAAATTATGTCTCTTATTTCACAGATAGTGTAGGGTAAATTCCGTGTCTTGCAGAAGTGGTTCAGTCGTGTTACTCCTGGGTGGCATAGTTTGATATGTAGTTGTTGTAGTGTACTAAGTTTGGTATTTATGGCAAGGCATCTAGAGAGTGCATCTGCTGCAATATTTTCTAGTCCAGATCTATATGAAATATTGAACCAATACTCAGATAGTTCTAATCGCCATCTTGTAAGTTTGTCATTTTTTGTTTTATAAATTTTTCCTAAATTAAAAAGGAAGGAAACAACTTTTTGATCGGTTAAAATATGGAATTTTGGAGCGGAAAATATTATGTGTCTCCATTGATGACAACATTCCATAATAGCCATTGTTTCTCGTTCTATGACAGATTGGTGACTTTCAGGCCTTGATATGACTCTGGAGAAGAATGCAATAGGTCTTCCTTCTTGACTTAGTGTTCCACCAATGGCAGTTTGAGATGCTAAGTGGAATATTTTTCAGTTCAGTTTCGATTTTAAGTGGAATATTTGGATAAGGTGTCGTTAAAGAGGCTGTGGTTAATTGGTCTTTTAGTTGCTTAATGGCAGTGGTAGTTTCCTCTGAAAGAGGGATGTTTTTGCTTATTGAGTCACGAGAATTAGTCAGAATGGTAGTTAAATTGGTGCAGTTAGGGATCCATTTAGCATAGTATGCAAAGAAGCCTATCAAGCTGTTTAATTGTTTAATGTTAGTTGGAATAGGATAATGTTGTAAGGCCTGGAACCTTTTGGGATCTGGTTTCAACGTTCTGTTTTCTATTAGGTGTCCAAGAAAACAGAGTGAGGTTTGAGAAAACTTACACTTTTCCTTGTTCATTTTCATTCCAAAATCGTTTGCTGCTATTTTGAATGCTGAGAGATTTTTGTTGTATTCTTCTTAATTAGAAGGGTAAGTTTTTTGTAGTTGGTATTTTGAGACAAAATCATGATGTGTTGAAAGATGGCTACTGCATTTGTGCATCCAAATAAGAGTTTTTTAAATTCATACAGCTTTCCATTAGCTTCGAAGGCAGTCAATGAATAATCTCTCTTTTTTAGTGGGATTTAGTGGTAAGCATTTTTTAGATCTATTTTACTGAATATACTGTTTATAGCTACCTTATTTAGTAGGTCATCTATTCTAGGACAGGGGTAAGAATCCAGAGGAGTATGTATATTTATGGTATTGGAGAAGTCAAGTACTAGACGAGGTTTTTTTGATAGGTTTGTGACAAAGCATTGAGCTCTCCAGGGGCTTTGAGTAATTTGAATAACATCATCATTTAAGAGCCGAGTAATTTCACTATTAATAAAGTCCGTATTCAGATTGTGTCATTGTGAAGATGTTGCAATTGGAGTGAGTTGGGATGTATCGATTCCAGGAATAAGTTCATACAATTTACATTTCATAGAAGATAGGGCAAAGCAGAATTGGATTGGTTCACGTTTTCCTCCAAAATGAAGTGTTAGGGCTGAGTGTTTATTTTAAATGTTTATACCAATAATAAGAAGTGATACTAGCTGTTTTACTACAAAGAGTTTAGTTGAATATGAGTGGTTCCCTATTATTAAGGTACTGTCATATTGGCCAATAATTTGTGCGGGTGAATTATCTGCAAGACAGATTGATTTCCTGATATTTGTGTTAAAGTTAAGATTGTTCTCAAACATAAAATTTAGAGAGATAAATTATAGGTCAGAGCCTGTGTCGATAAGAGCTTGTACTGGTATTCCGTTGACTATTGCATTTATCAGACCTAATTTTTGATTTATTGAGGCTAAGATTGTGGCCGTGTGAGGGATGTTATCTTGGTTGATGTCATTATTGCACTTATAGTTTGTTGCCGCACCCTTTATTGGTGTTTTATTTGGATATATTGGATTTATGCTTTTGTTTTGATTTAGTTTGTTACTTAAGCAGACAGTTGCCACGTGTCCTTTTTTTCCACAGGTATTGCAAGTTGAGTTTCATGCATTGCATTGGGACCTATCATGTCGTTGACCCCCACACCAGATACAAGAGTAGCTGCAAAAATAGGACGTTGTTCAGGTAAAGAAAAAGTTTTAGTATCTTCGATTGCTAGTTCCATAGTTGTTGCTGTAAGTAGAAGTTTTTCTAGTGAGTCGTTAGATGATTCTAAGAGGCGCTGACGAATCATTGGAGATAAAAGGCCAGCTACAAATGCATCGCTTATTAACATTTCTTTATGTTCGTTTGCGGTTATTGGTTTTATAGGGCATTTTCTTACTAAAGTTTGTAATTTTTCCATGAATTGGTCGACAGATTCTGATTCAAGTTGTTTTGTTGATCTTAGCTTGTGACGCATCATTATAGGTGTAGTTTTTTTTGAAAATTTATTGTCTGAAATAGTTAATGCATCTTCAAAGTTCTATTGATTCTGGATGAGTGGGAAGGATTTAGCACCACATAGAACAAATAAAACATCTAATTTATCTGTATCTAATACTTTAGCTTTTAAGATATATGTTTGTAGCATTCTTTTCCAATATAGGTATTCTTCTTCTGACGGTTCCTCTTGAAGAATTTTTTGGAATATTTTATCCATTGTGTTAATAAGATAATATAAAATTGTTTTAGACCCGATCAAGACTAATACAAGTGATTTAGTAGTAAGGTTTTTATAATATTATCTAAAATATAAAGAAACAAAATATACATAATATAAATATATCAACGCAATATTGAAATAACACAATAACACAATATCACAATATATATATATATATATATATATATATATATATATATATATATATATATATATATATATATATATATATGTATATATATATATATATATATATATATATATATATATATATATGTATATATAAATATATATATATATATATATATATATATATATATATATATATATATATATATATATATATATATATATATATATATATATATATATATATATGTATATATAAATATATATATATGTATATATATATATATATATATATATATATATATATATATATATATATATACACATATATTAAACCACTTTAATTAGTCATAGAAAACAATATAATACATTCATGCTGGCGATAAAATATGTGTTATTTTTAAAGAGTATTTAATTGTTATTGTAAAAAGCTATAAAACAACTATAAAACAAATTGCAAAGTTGTTTTAAAAGTATAAATAGCTTATGTACGACTTATTTAGGACTGTAAAACAATGTAATACATCTTTATGTTTTGTTGTCTTTTGAATGTTCAAAAGACGTCAAAACGTTCAAAAGACGTTCAAAAGATGTCTAAAATGTTCATAAGATGTTTAAAAGACGTCTTTTTTACGTCTTTGCCCTCTTGGTATAGACCATATATATCTATAATCTATAGACCACACAAGTAAGATCAAAGAAAAAAATTAGATACCACGTTTTTCATAATTTATTATTTCTTGATCTAGAGGACTAATAAAAATTCATGTATAATTAAGTTTTATTGAAATCGTTTTCCAATAAAAAAAGGAAAAAAAAACTTTGGTTTAATAAATCAATATTTTCTTAAGTTCAAGAATATGCTTAGAAACCTTGAAGCAAAAAAGTTGCTGGTTTCTATTATCATAGAATAACTATTACAAAAAAAAATTTATAAAAACGAATTAATATATATTTTATATACTTAAAGTAGTAAAGTTAATATGAAATTGTTGATAAAATAATAGTTTAAATTATTAATAATAAGTTAATTTGGTGCAACATTTTGAAAAACAAAGAAAACCAGGCTGTTTTGTTAAAAAAAAAGAATGAAGAAAAAATTTGCTTTAATGTCTTTTCCCTTTTCAACTTTTCGCTTTAACAACCTTTTAAAAGTTATTTATTTATTAGCTTTCAAAAGTTTTATTGAAAAAATGTTTGAGTGTTAAAGAATAGTTTTATTAAAAAGATTTTGCCAAATAATTAGTTATGCAAGATTGTGTTTTAGTTAAAACAAAAGATTAAGCAGCAACCATGGTATTTGTAGAAAAAAAAAAAAGTTTGTATGACAAAAGAATAGAGGCTGATAGTTGAACTTCTGTTTATTTCTTGGCAGCTAGATGTATTGGCAGCAGGTATAAATATTTGCAGCGCGTTTTTTAAACATTGCTCAAAAGAGAAAGGGCATTTTAAAAAAAAACAGTGTTTTTTCACCATCCCATTCACAGCATTAACAAAATGACAACAGTGTTTCATACAAGAACAAATAAATGATTTATAGAGGTAGAGAATAGAATCAGGAGTATGAAATTAGCAAGAACAATAAAGAGAAGCAACCTTAGTAAAGGTCAACTGCAATCAATTAGATAAATGATTTCAATGAGAGGACAGTAGATAATTTAAAAAACCTAAATCATAGGGCTAGGTAAAAGGATTGCATTTATTAAGACAAAAATCAACAATTTTTGGTAATTATTAGCAGCAAACTAATAATTTTGAGTTATGGTTAAAATTTACCAGCCACTGCATACTTTAAATTTACCAGCCACTGCATACTTTAAGCTATTATATTAGATTACAATCAAGATTGACTATTTGTTTTAATAATCAAAAAGTAGTGACTTTTTATCAAGACTAGATCATATATTTGTCTCATCAGCAAATAGGGCCACTTGAGAGTAAAATTATAAGTCAGATTTATTGGAAGTTTTTGTTTAGTCAAAGGCAGTAATCCATGATTTGGTGCTTTAATCTAACGCATAATAGCATTTTTCCCTTTTCTGTTATTACAGTTAACAAATCAGCAATAGAGCAAAAGGATCAAGATATGTACTTATTGTTAGAGAGTTATTGTTTAGACTCAATAATAGATATTTGCGGTTAATTTTAATTATAAAATGAATAATATTTTCCAAATTTTTATGTGCTTTATTTTTTATTTGCTTCGTTTTAGACCCAACATGACATACTTTTGAAAAACTTTTTTTTAATAATATTAGGAACATATTTTATGTTCAATGGTCAGTAGCAAACCCTTAAAATATTTTTTATTCAAATAAATTTTAAATCCAGTATTTTTTTATTATATACAACATATTTAGGGGGTTCTAGCAGTCATTTTCAAAAAAAGATGTTTTTAGAACCACTCTAGGCAGGGTGGTCACAGCTCCTCTAAAATCTTCTAAAGTCCTCTTTTTTCAAAAACCTCCTCTAAAATCCTCTATTATCCTTTAAAAAGTTAAAAATATCATAAAATCTCCTCTTTAACTCCTCTTTTTTATTATTTTTTATTTCTTGATGGTCGTATGATGTTTAAAATTCATGGTCTGCTAATTGCGTAACGTCTGAAATTAGAATTTTGTTGTAAAAAATCAATTTTAGCAAATCCATGTCATCTAACAAAAAATGAAATTGTTGACCTCTGTTCAAACCCCAGTTATGTTGAAACATAGGCGTTAAACCTTGAGAAAATAATCCTCTAAAATCCTCTACTTTTATTCAAAATTTTATAGTTTTGCGAAAAAAAATCCTCTAAATTAAATGGAAAATCTCCTCTAAAATCCTCTAATATCCTCTTTTTCTTATAAAAATTTTATGTGGCCACCCTGCTAGTTTACATGGTCTGAATAATTTTGTATGCAAAGGTTCTATATATAAAATATTTTACATTTATTTTTTAATGAAGGTTTTGTGAGTAAACTTAAAACACATATGGGTGTATTTTTACCAATTATCTATATATGTATTCTCTTAAAACAAATTTGTTTAAGAAAGTGACGATACCAGGTGCATGCTTACATAAAACAAAATAGTGCTAGAATAGTGAATTATTTTGAAACAGAATTAAATTGCTAGTTATTGTGGTAATAACTGCGTAATCATTGGCTGTGTACTCATTTTACACAGCCAATAAAAAAAATCTTATTTGTCTTTAGATAAAAATGGCTCAAGTATTGAAGTCAAACTGTACTTTTGTTCCCAGTCCAATTTGATGGATTCATTAATGATTGGGAATATTTTTATTGGAACAAGGTTACTTTGTAAAATAGACGTTATTGAAATTGGTGGTAAACAGAACCAGTATTCTTATTTTACGTCTACAAAAGAAAGCCAATTTTATAAGTTTGACAAAGATTGGAAATGTGAAGATTTGATGGATTTACCTTTTTCATACTGTTCTGAAGTCATTGATGTTTTTCTGGTAATGTTTCTGATTTCTTTAACTTAAATATTTGATTATATTCAAGCATAAAATATAAACTTGTTTTTAGATAAATTGTTAAATATGAAATGCTTAAACACTTATATGTCATAATTATTTAATATAAAAGAAATGTTTAACTTTTCCCCTTGATGTTTAACTGGTGATTGGGCCTCACACACCCTAATCATAGTGTCCAACCACAACAATCAACAAATAATATTTGCATTAAAATAATTAAATATTATTATTAAGTTAATTTTTTTTATAAAAGAAGTTATTTTCTAATGCACTACAAGTTTTATTAGTGAAAACTTACTTTATAAAAGAAAAAGTTTTTTATTGTGACTTGTCAAAAATGTATTTCTGGAAGAGAAATTTTTAATTAGGATAAAGTAATGTGGAGTGATCTTTTGTTACTTGGCTGTTCACCACTATATAATTATCAAATCTGCATTGCACATTTAATAATTATATAGTTGAATGCTTTTAATTATAACATGTTTTTAATGTTTTAAACATTTTTCATAACACTAAGACTTGTTTGGTTTCTTACAAAAAAAGAATTACAAAATTAAATTACAAAAAACTATTTCAGGCTTGGTCGGGAAGAGAGTGTTTAAAGGACCAGAAAGCTAAGCATGGGTACTTTGGAAACTGGCAGATAGGCTGAGTAGACAAGAAGGATACAGTAAAGTTTGTAAGACTGAACTGAAAATTGTTATAGCAATTAACACAGAAGTTCCTTTAGATTGATATTATATCAGTGGTTTATGATTTAGAAATATCAAAAAATGATTTAGTTGTCAGATATGAAAGGCTTATAAAATGAAGAATTTAATTTAATAGCCTGTGTAATTTACCAAAATATATAAGTTATAAGTAATAAATAAGTTACCACTTCACCATTTTATAGCTAAAATAGATGATAAAAGTAACAATCCAAAGAAATTATTGGTCAAAAATCTTTTGCAGATGATTTATTTGAATTTTGCAATATGTTAATTTGTTCCAATTCATTTAGAAATTGATTTCTATTTTAACTATAATATTTTATTTGTTCTTAAAACGGAACAAGGTAAATTTTATAAATAGTGCATTGGAATATGTAAAAGCTTTAATCTCTCAAACTATTCAATGGAAAAACCTGGTCTTGTATACCATGTCAAGTGGCTGATATTTGCTTTTTAAAATGAGATTATACAAGAGCAAAGAATCCTACAGAAAAATTGTGCGCAATTGTGAAGTATATTTTTTAAGTTTACTGCAAGTGTTTTGATGTAAAATGTCTTTATAAAGATGTCCCTAGACTTCTTCATAACACAATAGAGCTGGTTAAAAATCAGACAGACAATACACAAAAGACTGTTTTTTAAAATCTTCAAGGAAAGATATTACTGACTTTGAGAAAACTTTCTCTACTATATGTTGCAGGAAGATGAAAAAGAAATAAAGGATAAAGCTATCCTAAAAATTTAAGAGAAGTAAATCTTAAAGTTAAAGCAAAAAACAAAAGTATAAGCAATTATGCCTAAGCAATTAAGTATAAAGTACTTATAAACTATAAGCAAAATAAAGTAAAGTATAAACAAATAATTTTAAAGCTGAGACCTAGAGGGGTTCTTTAACTGATGTTGAACCTCCAACAACTATCCTAATTAATTAAAGTATACTTTGCAAACTTATTAAAAACTTATTCTTGATATATATATATATATATATATATATATATATATATATATATATATATATATATATATATATATATATATATATATACACACATATATACACATTGCACAAATCTCTAAGAATTCGAAACATATAATAAATTAGTAACAACAATTTTTAAAATGTTTCTTTATTTGTTTTTGCACTGTCTGTAAAGGTTTTAGTTGCTATGTATATTAAAAACAAGAACATATGCTAAAAAAACTTCTAGCAACTATATAATTGTGCAGTAATTTAGCATTCAAAATTTTATATAACTTTACTAGTTAACGGTGTTGGTAACTATAATCCAGCAAAAATCTCTTGAAATTGTTATATGTATTGAAAATTTTTTATTAGTTTATGTTTTATTATCAACATAACATTTTATTGCTTCTCACAAGCAACTCACAAGCAAAAGTTAATTTTTTCTGTTTTCTAAGTATATATATATATATATATATATATATATATATATATATATATATATATATATATATATTTATATATATATATATATATATATATATTTATATATATATATATATATATATATATATATGTATATATATATATATATATATATATATATATATATATATATATATATATATATATATATATATATATATATTTATATATATATATATATATATATATATATATATATATATATATATATCCAAAACTTCTTATCAACACAAAATGTGAAAATACGTTTAAAAAAAAAAAGACAACTGTTTTAATTTTATTTGTAAACATTTTACTATTCAAGACATATTTGACTATATATTGCCATCATCATTTAAAATATATTTGTTAAATAATGTATAAAATATTATATAATGGTATATAGTTATTAATTAATGGTATGTAATTACCATTTAATGGTATATAATTATAAAAATAAACATAATAAAAGCCATTAAATTGATAACAAACTTCCTACTTTATACAAAAACAATTGTTAAAAATTATTTTAACAAATGTTGACATTTGTTAAAATAATTTTTAATAATTCTAATTGGCAAAACTTCTCACCGATAAAAAAGACACAAATGATTGGACACTACAGAAGATATAAAAACTCTTGAATTTATAAGCATTTTCACTTGAAACAAAAATGTTTTACAAATTATGATGATGAATGCTTTTTGTTTTTGGATTATGCCAATAACAAAATTAAATTAAAAATTAAAGAAAGTATTCATATAGGATGGGAAAAACCCGATATGAATAAACAAGTTGTATATATATAGGAAGTTTGTTATCAATTTTATAGCTTTTATTAAGTTTATTTTTACAATTACATACTATATTTTATATCGTTTTTAACAAATATATTTTAACTGATGATGACTATATATAGTCAAAACATATCGTTAATGAAATATTTTAAAATAAGAATAAAAAATATTATATATATATATATATACACACACACACATATATATATATATATATATATGTATGTATGTATGTATGTATGTATGTATGTATGTATGTATGTATGTATGTATGTATGTATGTATGCATGCATGCATGCATGTATGTATGTATGTATAAGTATGCATATTGTTTTTTTTTTAATTTTAGTTAACAAAAGATCTCAACAGTATGAATACAGTGTTACAAAATGGATATACAGGAGGTTGGTATTCCTATCCACCTTTACCAGACACATTGCGTGGTTTAAAAGCCTTTTTGTCTCCTGATCTAATGGTACATTCATTAGATGATTTGTCTACATTGGTTAAGAAACTTCATTTTTATCAAAGCACTTATGTTTGTGTTTTTTCATCCATTGCTTCCGTTGAAGTTGTACAAAAGAATATCAGTAAAATTTAAAAAATGTTTTAATAGTTTGAAAACATTCGTTATAATATAAAACATTACCTTTTTATTTTTACTTTATTTTTACATAGTTTAGATGATCTCATAGAAAGTTATATGTATATATATATATATTTATATTTATATATATATATATATATATATATATATATATATATATATATATATATATATATATATATATATATATATATATATATATATATATATATATATATATATATATATATATATATATAGAAAACTTTTTGTGCTATATGTTTTTAAAGTAAATTTTTCTTTAGATCCTTATATCTGCTCACAAAAAGTTCTGAATGAAAAATATTCACCCAATAGTACCAGCAGATTGACTGTTCTAGGAAACCCTGATATCAGTCAGCAAGATATTGATGATTTTCTTGGTATTTCTCACCATAATGATGTTTTAGATATTTTTCTTCGTTTATATTTAGTTGATGATGAAAATAAATGCATTTATGTTTACTTTAAGCCCATTTTGGGATCAAAGGACTGTACTTTTGTCGAGATGCTATCTGGTCATTCTATTATGTATGAGCAATTAAATAACAAAGACAAATTTTGTAAAAAATTGCTTGATGTCCCTCTTGAACAAAGGTTTTTGTTTTATCTTGATGTATATTATTATGGCAATGAGCGAACTGAGCTTGTTGTTAATAAAGCATATGTTTTACCAAGCTGAATTTATATTTTTGATGAAAATATTCATGTAAATATATTAAAATTATTTAATTAACTCTTTTAAAAAAATATTTTGTATATTAGTTTTATAGTAAAAAGTTTTTAATATCTTTAAGAGAAAAAAATTTAGGTTTTATAAACCAGATGGAAAGATGGTTTGGTCATTATATTAAGTGATTAGGAATAACCCACTTATATTGTTGAAATACTTATATTTAAAAAAAAATGATAAAAATCTATAAAAAATTATAAATTTTAGTTTAAACAGTAAAAAGTTTCAAAAAGTTATAAAATACTAATCAGTTGGCTTAGCTTATTAACTGGCCGGTTTTAATAAATAAATAGATATTATTTTATATAAATGGGTGTTCTTATATATAATTGGGTGCTTTTATATATAATTGGGTGTTGATATATATAAATGGGTGTTATCATAGGTAAGTAAGCAAATTTGTAAACCTTCTATATATATTCAATATTTAAATTTGTAGACCTTTTATATGTATTCATATATAAAAGGTTTTTATTTCTTGTATTACGTTACTTAGGTTCAATAGATTGAATAATAAATCGTTATATAGGTTCAATAGATTGAATAATAAATCTTTATATAGATTCAATAGATTGAATAATAAATATTTATATAGGTTCAATAGATTGAATAATCAATCTAAGATTAGATAATAGATATAATAGGAACTTTTTACTAACAAAATTTATAAAATAATGAAATCTAATTTTATAAAGCAGGTGCATTGAGCTCATTTTTTTGAAAGCATTGGACACAGAATTGAATGCATTGTTTTAAAAAGCATTGGACACAAAATTGAGCGCATTGTTTTAAAAGCATTGGACGCAAAATTGAATGCATTGTTTTGAAAGCATTGGATACAAAATTGTATGCATTGTTTTGAAAGCATATTTGTATAAGAGGAAACTTTTTATTTGTTTAAATATAACTTAAAAAATTTGCAAAAAATATCTAAAAAAATGTTTTTTACATTTATTTGTGCATTTTAACACCAGTTAAGTGATTAAAGTGAGTTATTAAATTGCGTATTTGCATTGGTTGCACACAAATTTGAAGTTATTTTTTTCTTGAAAAAGTGTTTTCGATTTGTACCTCAAAAAGTTAGTTATATGAATTTTAATGAATGTTGAGATTCTCTATAAAATAATGGTTTTCTCAATATATTTTTTTTTTAATTAGATTTACATTAGTAGAATATGGATAGTGGTTTTATATGTATCAACTGTGGCAAACATAATTTATCCATTTATAAAAGTTTTCCAAATGGAACTACAAAGTTATCAACTTGTGTATGTATTTATATCTTTCGTTGGTTGTTATTAATTTTACAGATTAAAGTTTCTGGTATATTTTTTTAAAGGTTGTATTTTTATCTAGTTGTAATTGTGTCAAAGGGACACACTTACATGTAAAAGAGACACAAATGTGTAAAAGGGACACGCATGTGTAAAAGGGACACACATGTGTAAAAGGGACACACATGTGTAAAAGGGACACACATGTGTATAAGGGACATATCTGTATAAAACTTCAGTAATAGCTCTAAAATTGTTTCTAGTATTTTATTTTAATTTTTGTTTTGAAAATTATAGATTTCGAAGAAATTATTAATATAAAAATTAATACTTTTGTTGTACTAGTTTTTAAATTTATAAATGTAATAAAGTTTTTTTGTTTTTTTTTTAATATTAAAATTTAACAGTTAAAAGCATTTTAGATATATAATTAGATAGAGACAAGTTTTTTTAAATTTTATTCACTTCTTTAAAACCACGGACTCAAGGAGGCTTCTAGTTTTTTTTTGTTTTATTTTAAGTTGATATTTCTCAACTCTCACGACCCTTTATTCCATAACAAAAACTTTCCTTGCTGTTCATGGAAACAAGTTATACGCAACAACATTGTTTTTTTTTTTTATCTATTATATAAAATCTCTATTATATATAAAATTTTTGAACCAGAACAGTTATCTTTCAAACATAACAGATAATTCTTCTTGACTATTTAATAATATATTTTGAAATGTAATAATAGTTATTCTGATTATAACTATTAGTATTGTTATTGATATTGTTTTTATTGTCGGTACATTTTTTAAAAAATTTTTGGTTTATAATAATTATATTCTGTTACTGATATTATTAAGATTATGTTAATGTATTATTTTTTTTTTTTCCCAGCAGTTTTTCTTATTTAGGTATACTGTAAAAACCTAATTGATTTTACTTTAGGTATACTGTAAAAACCTGGTTGAATTTTCTTTAGGTATACTGTGTAAACCTGGTTAATTTTACTTTAGGTATACTGTAAAAAGCTGGTTGATTGTTATAGTGAGTATGACAATGTTTTAATTGCTTTGAATTTACTCCTGTTTAAGAAGGAAGCATTTCGTCACATTCTTTTTAACAAAAAATATTCAGTAAGTAATTCTTTTCTTATTAGACTAGTTCATGGTATAACTTTTCAGAAATTTTTATTTTTTTTATTCAAATTAATTACTTGTATTAGTCAAGGAATACAATTACGGAGTTTGTGTCTTTTTTAAAAAAAAAGATGTACTTAGTTGAGCACTTGAGTTTTTTGTTTGAGATCCGAGATTTGAGTTTTTTGTTTGAGCTCTGTAAAGTAAATTATTTTTATACATGAAAAATGTTAAAGGTTTGAACTCCCTAATTGTTAAACTCTATAATTAGACAAAAATATTTTAATGTTACATTTTTTATAAAAAAAAATTCTTTCTCCATTTATTTATTATTTTGTTTTATGAGTAATTTTTAAAAGTAGTCAGCTAATTAAAATATTTGAATCGTGAATTTAAATGATTAAATTAGATAAAATGCAGTTGTAATTGGTTGCCATTAAGGCCTGAAACCTTCATTTTCCTCCTGTTTTTTACAGCATAATTGAAACTTTATATTGTCTACTCAAGCATTTCAGGACTATTTTATCCCTAAAATCTGGTTAATTGACCCAAAAAAGTTCTAAAAAAAGAATTTGAAAAAATCTGGAATACAAGGAGTTCCAGTTTATTCTATTCTGAAATGGATGTCAATATCCATACACTATTTGATGCACCATACACCATTTGATTTAAGATAGTAGGCTGAAAAAACAATTTAGTTTTTATTTACTTCTGTTTATAATTTTTATTTACTTCTGTTTATAATTTTTATTTACTTCTGTTTATAATTTTTATTTATTTCTATTTATAATTTTTATTTACTTCTGTTTATAATTTTTTTGTTTAAAGTTACAAAGGTCATACAAAAGTGGAAATTAAAAAAAAGAAATTTTATTATTTTTAGAATTATAAACAGCTTATTGTTTTATATGTTTTGACAGAATCTTGTATCTTTTTAAATTTTTTAAAGTATTTTTAAATAATGGGTGATAACTAAAAAATGTGAATTTTTACTTCTGGCTATAATTAAAACACATTCAGAAAATAAATAAAAATTATATTTATTTCAATTGGAGGTACATCTCTTATCTTTAAGAAAAAATTAATGAAATTTTGAATATGGTCCATTATCAGCAGTTCGACGTAGCTTTGTCATGATGTTGGAACAAGAGCATTTTTCAGCATTTATATCGATTTGACAAATGTATCTTTTGATTCAGGTAATCAATTGTTTGCAATTCTTGGCTCTCCAGTTGTTTTTGTATGCTAACAAACTCAAATATCCAAAGAAATCTTCAATTTGGCAACACTGAGGCAAGTTTGTTGGATTGAGGTTTTTTGGTCGATATCAAATGTTTTGGCGTTTCAAGAATACTTGTGTTTTTTTGGCATAATGCAATAATGATTTATCTGGCCACCAAATGGAATCAATGTTTTCTTCAAATATTGATACTTATCTGGTATACTTCTTGATTAGTAGTCAAACCACTTGGCTTGAACCATGGCTTGGAAATTCTCCTATCAGATATGTACAATGTACAATGATATGGCAATGTACAGCTTCACTTTCTGCTCAAGTTTGTGTTTATATTTGCATTATACTTTTAGTGTTGTAGAACTTCTATCTGCATCAGTCATTTCCTGGAATTTGCGTTTTGGAGTAGAGGAAGTAACTTTTGTTATCCAAAGCAAAACATTTTCCAGACTAATTTTGGGTCATCCAACAACATTGAGATTTCACAGTTAAAACTGGTGCTCTTGTATTTTTTCGGCATACTATTCCTTGTTTTTTCAACGTTTTGCAGATATAAGGCTGCGTACACTTGAGCATTTCTGCAGCATCTCGTTGATTTATTAAATCATTGTTGTTAAAAGTACTGTGAAGCAAACGAAGTCCCTTCTTATTCATTATTTTAGCTAGTCTTCCACTACCACATTTGTGATTGGTTGTTTAGGATGCCGAAATACAGTAAATAGTTGAAACTGGAACATTTTTGGTTTTAAAATAGTTTACAGTAAACTTTTTCCCAAGATTTTCGTGCATTTGAACTTTACAATGCGCTTGCGTAGTACATCTTGTTTTGACGGCATTTTAAACACAACTGAATAAACTGATGCAAAACAAAGCATATGATAAATTTGTAAACAGAGAGAGTATAGTATCGCAAAGGCGTACTTTTCTTGTTTTGACTTTTGTAGTTCCATATGAAAGAGTTATTCTCATTTTTTAGTTATCACCCGTTAAATTTTTTAAGTTTTTTTTTGTTTTGTTTTTATCCTAATATCTATTTTACTAAAAAAAGTTATCTTTAATACTTTATACATATCTTAAATGGTTTTTTTATCCACATTGTGCATCCAGTTTTAATCCAGTCACACGCTGGAATTTTTTGCTGGAGAAAAAAATTTATCAAATTTTTCTAATTTCTGCTGCAGGTTGGTAAGTTTTTTTTATTATTATTATTAATTGATTAATGCAAATGTTAATATATTTTTTTTATTCATTTCTCAGCATTCATTGTAATATTATTTGCAATATAAATAACAGTTGCATACATTTACTTTTAGATTTTTTTTTAAATTTTTTTCAGACAATTACATTTGTTTTAAACATTTTAATTTCACCTTATATTTACTATTAGTTATTTTATGATAATTAACTGTAAACAAATTATTATATATACAGGTGTCCAAATATTTTATGAAACTAGGTGGTGAAGCTTTTTTTTGTTCTTAAAATGTTTCTAAATGGAATTTCAATGCAAGGCTAGACAAGTTTATGTGTTTTTAAATCAAGACTTCAGTGTAATAATTAAAAAAATATAGCAAATGTATTTAAAATATTATTTTAAACCTTATTATTTGTTATTTTTTACAAATGTACTTTTATATATTTATATTTAGTATTTTCAGTATTGATCTTGAATCAGAATAATGCTGTGCTTATAATTTACCACAAAAAAGCTTCCAACTAACTTTGTGGAGAGTGTAAAATGATCATTGGTGATTTTTATCCCTTGCTCATCTATTGATATGTCTTATAGAATATATAGTATAGTAATTTTATATATTTGAAAAATCTAGTAACTATTGTAATTATTCAATTAGTTTTGTGTCATTAGAAATTCTGAATCAGTTTTTACCTGCTTAAACTTTTTAGTAACATCATACAATATATTACTGAAATCTTTTCTTAGCTTCAATAGATGCATTAATGTTTTGCATGCATGCTGTCCTAAGGCTTTGGAGTAAGGCTCTACTTTAATGTTAATTTTTCGGATATAAATTTTTACATCAAGGTACATTAGTGTTTTGATTGCCAAAATATTAATCCCAGCAGTCTTGACATCAATAAAACATTTTAAAAACATAGCATATGCCAACAGAACATAGCATACGGCAACAGAACATAGCATATGTCAATAAGAGTGATGACAATTTAATTTAATTTTTTTTATTCTCAGTTATAATTTTAGGGGTTATATCTTGATTCTATTTAGTGACCTTAGTATATCGAATTTTTTACAACCCCAGTGCCAGCTAAACAGTATTAGCAGGGGTTAATAGTTAAGGCTAGATTTAATGTGTAGTACATTATATACTCTATATTTATGTATATATGCTGTTTGTTTATATACTGGCATATAATATGCATATATATTTATATAAACTTTACTTAAAATTCACTTTATGTGTTTTATATATATGTAATGTTAGTCAGATATATATAAAGGATTACGTATGAAGGGATACACAATGCTGATTTTCTGAATTTACTAGTGAAGGCCATTATTTCTATCAAAGTTGAAAATTTATTTAATGTCAATCATTTATTACAAAAAAACTTAAAAAGTAAAGAATGAACCAGAAAAATACTCCTTTGATAGGTTGATAAGATAAATAAGATAAAAATTAGACCAATAGTTGTTAACTCAGGTGGAGTTGAATGATCCAAATAGATTTTATATTTTGTTTCATAATAAAATTTTTACATGGTTTAATGGTTTCTGTTAACAAACTAACATTGTTATATTAACTTAAGTGTTTTGAGAGAAACTATAGTTGAAGTTGAAAGTAATGGTGTTTTAGAATCTGTTACAAATAATTATAAAATCAATCAGCTCGACCAATCATGCTGCAAAATTTTCTACAGATTTTCTGACTTTAATGCCATTCATCCATTAGATGATCAATGCTTTCTTAGTTTGGTCTCTTTGGGTTGATACTGATTATCTAGATATAATTATTTTTACAACAATTGGATTTCTAAAAAGTATTAGCTTTCCTTGATAATGAAATCATTTGCTCATTTTCTGATATAAAAATCTATACCAATATGAGAAAGAGAAATCTAGATTTCAATAACAGATTGTGTAACATACTTTAAATATATTTAATGAGAATTTAGTAGCTACTCCAAATTTAAATAGAGATCATAAAATATTCAAATATCTTCTTTATTAAGCAGATATTTGATTGATTATAAATAATATTGTTAATGTTTCTGCAAAAGTGCAGGATATATTAAACTGAGAGATTATAACAAGGCTGTGTAAAATAAAAGCTCAAATAATCTTCAAATTTTTTTAGAACAATTGATTAACAGAATCTATGAATTTAAAGCATGAACCCAAATTAAATTTAGTGTGTTACATACGGTACCAAAAAAACCTTTTTGCAAGTCACTTAACAAATGTAAATTTTATTATGTCAGCTGCTGATGGTTTTTTTTTTTTTTTTTTTTTTTTTTTTTTTTTTTTTTTTTTTTTTTTTGCTTTTAAAACTCTGTTTCTAGAATTAGTGGAAGTTGATGACCTAATAAAAAAACTCACAAAGTTCAAATCATTATTGGAGATGTAATTTGAATTATAACATGCGTTATGATGTCAGTGAAAATTGCTCTGTTCCTTATGTGTCAGAGTGGATGTAGAAAAAAGTGTTAGGATGAACTAGTTTATGCTGAGGATAAGCCTATACTAACAAATATGTAACGCTCAAAATTTTCTATTAGTACATTTTTATAAAAAGTTAAAATTTGATGAAATTTATTTTTTCAATAAATTTTAACTTTGTATATTTAGATGAATTATATTTTTGGTCATGAGTAATTATTTGTTTGTAAAGTGAATTGATTACTAAGATCAAACGTCTTGAATGCAATCTTGAATGTAACATGAACAAAAAATCATTCAACATATTGATGAATGACAATTTCTGCTTATTTTCCTGGATTATCTTTCATTACTAACCTTTCATGAAAAGCATGGAAACCCTATATCAATGGATCCAATAGAAACCCTAAATCAATGGATCCAATAGAAACCCTATATCAATGGATCCAATAGAAACCCTAAATCAATGGATCCAATAGAAACCCTATATCAATGGATCCAATAGAAACCCTAAATCAATGGATCCAATAGAAACCCTATATCAATGGATCCTCTGATTTTTATCATTTTTCCGAGTTTCAGAGTTCGAGATAAATCAAGAAACTTCGACGGAGCTCTGACAAAGTTTTTAGAAAAAATCGTTTTTTACTGGTAAAATAGTTAAATTCTTTTTTTTTTCTTTTTTTTTTTCTACTTTGCTTTTACAATAATTCTAAGTTATTTGTTTTGAAAATGTTTTCATTTGTCATTGAAAAAAAAAAATTTCAATGACAACCTGATGTGATGTCACAGTTGGCAGAGAATTTTATAATGTTATAATATATTTTTAAAAACAAAAATAAAAAATAAGTTAATTTATCTAAAAAGTAAAATTTAAACATTAGTCTATTTAAAGCTAAGTTATTTAATTTAAATGAATTAAAAACAAATATGTGAGGATTAACAGGTGAAGATGTAGCAATTGAAGTAGAGGATACTATAATTAAAATGTTCACTGCAACTGCATGTATTGCTAAGGAAAGTTGAAATTGCCTTCTCTATATTCTGCTGATTATAATGGAAAAGTTAAAAGAATTCGGAATAGTGAAGATCTTGCAATTAAATGGCTGTAGGTGGATGCTTTAACTGGGTACCATAATTAAGTCTCGACATCAAATCTGGTAGAATTATTAAATTCGTTTTAGTTTTTTTTTTTTTTTTTTTTTTTTTGATATACGCTAAAAAAGATTGTTATGAAATTGCAGACCGCAAATAAACTGAATTGAATATTGAAGCAGAAACAGAAACTGATGAAAATCAAATGATGAGAGACTGAAAAAGAATGGCTGATTCATTATTTCAAGACCTATCACCAATCAGTTAAAAGAATATGAAGCAAGTGGTGTGAAATCTGAAGCAATTTTGAAATTTGTACTAGCAGTCCACAGAATTCAAGCCATTTTTAGATAATTAGTCCGCAGAAGTCAAATCATTTATTAAATAAAACCTGTTTGTCAAAGAATTGTAATTAAAAAAATAATAATAATTTATAAAGAATTAGAAATTATAATATTAAAAAAATAAATACAAGAATAATGTTTAATTATTAAATTGATAGTTTAATTTATATTTTATAACAAAACATTATCGTACCGATTTTTTCTCAACTCCGATACTGTACTCTCCTGAGACCGCCAGGGTAAATTTTAGTTTACTCTAAATTTTTTTTTTCTTTAACTATTATGGGGTCAAATAAAATATTTTAAAATAATTTTTAAAATCTAAACTAACTTTTAAACATAGAAATTTTAGATTTAATTAAAATGTCTAAAATAAATTGCATCATTTTATGATTACATCATCTATTCAAAATGGTACATAATGTTGCAATACAGATAAAAATAATAATTATTACGGTTAAAAGCAATCATATAAAACTTATATTTTTTGTCAAAATAGCCGACAAAAAATGTCTAATTTGTGGATGTTGCTTTATTTCCTTTGGATCACATAAACTTAATAAAGTAACTCCCGCAGTACAACTTCATATTCAAATTTTATTTTAGAGAGAATATGATGTAGAATAAAAGTGTTATCCAAAAAAACATTTGTAATTCTTGCAAAACAAATTTATATGCATTGAACAGAAACATCAAAGTTAAATGATTGGATTGAGAAAATATCTCAAATTAACAGACAAAAACTCAGAAGATCATCTGATCTTAGTGAAATATCTGAAAAGATCACAACAAATAATCAAGATATTGTTGATAAAATTATTAAAAAGAATTGTCCTTCATGCTTTTATTAAAAAGAAATGTCCTTCTTGCTTTTCTACAATAGCTATGATTTCCTTTAACAAATTTAAAATGTTTATAACTTATATAATATTTTAGTTATTAAACTATTTCTTCAATTATTGTTAAAAAAAATAAAAAATTAAATTTAGCATAGAGTCTATGCTAGTCAATGCATAGTCTATGATAGACTTTTTAAATAATAGTGTATTATTTTTTATATGTTTTACAAATACAATAATATCAGAGTTTTTCCTACTTTAAAGTTCTATTTAGGCAAAGGAATTTCTCACTTTTGCTGTAAGAGTGAAGCTGTAAAAAACCTAGTTATGTTGGTTGAAGGTCTTGGAAATGTATCCAGTAAGCAAGTTGCTTCTGGGATTCTTAAAATAAAAATGAAAAGAGACAATATTTATTCTGGAGACAAGTTTCCTTTAAAAACCTTTGGAAACAACCTTCTTGTTGTTGGTGGCACACCTGATAATAAATGTAGCAGAGCATTTGTTAAATTTTTTTTTCTAGAAACTATCATGGAAATCTCTAATACTTTAAACCTGAGTAAAAGAAAGACTAAGCTACTTTGTAAGCATAAAATGTTAGAACCTAATATATCAACTCAGATAGAGGAGCTGCATAATGTATTTTCAGATTTAATGGTGTCAAAACTGAATCATTCATTTCAAGGGAAGGAGGGATAAGTTGCAGTTTGGTATTTGTAAAAGATACTTCTGATTTAGTTCTTCGTATGATTAATGAAAGAGTTTTAAATCCTCATTGCATTATTGTTAGGATTTCCATTGATGGTGGACAGGGTTTTCTTAAAAGTGTTATAAATATTTTTGATATACTATGTAAACATACAACTTCAGAAAGTCTTGATGATTCCGGTGTAAAAAGGTCATTGGTTTTGGCTTTAGTTGAAGATGTTTCAGAGCATAATGGTAATCTTAGCAAACTATTGAAACCACTAGTTCTGAGTAATGTAAAATATTCAATAGCATTTGATCTAAAATGTGTAACTCTTTATTTGGTTTGAGCAGTCACAGCTGCAAGTATGCATGTCTCTAATGTGAAGGGGAAAGTACTCTTGAGAGCGGAAAAAAAAGAACTTTAGGTATCAACTACAACAAGTTCGTTGAAGATGCAAAAAAAATCACATGATGGAATTTAAAAGCTGTATCCTAGAGTTGTGTATCTTGACGAATCTCTAGAAACTTTAGTAGAACATCTCATTCCTCTACCAGAGTTACACATTCATATTGGTATTACTTGGTATGTTTGTAAAAATATTAATTACACTGTGGCCTGATTTTGATTCGTGGCTAAAGTCGAAATATATAATCTTTAGAGGTTACGACGGAACTGGTTTGGATGGTAACAATTCACAGAGACTTTTAGAAAATTAGATAATTTAGAAGTTAACTTTTTAAGTGCAGCCTCTATATTACCAAATATGATATTTATCCAACCTGTAGTTAGCTGCTTAGAAAGTTTTCAATTATAAAAAAAAAAAGATTTTAGCATGTTTATTGGAGAATCTATTGCTAAATCAGTTTTAGATTTTAAAAAAGTTTTCAAAAATCTGCAGTTTCATATTCTGAAAAAGTTTAACTACCAATTAAATATTAGCTGGAAAGTTCATATTTTAGTATATCATCTTGTTCCTTTTCTTCAGCATAGTTAGTTTGGGCTTGGTGTATATGCCGAGCAGGTCCGAGCGGTTTCAGGAAAGCACAGTGCCGACGGATTTTTTTCTTGATTTTTCTCGACTCCGTTTTTTCTCGATTTTGGATCCCTTGCCCTTTATTCAATTCATTGTAAAATTAGTATCTGCTAATGTTGTCTCTCTTTATTGTGCTCTATGTTTTTATACTCCTTATTAGATTGTTTACCTTTATAAATCTTCTATCCATCGTTGTATGGAATACTATTGCTATATAACTCTTCCAATAGTGTCTTATCTTTTTTTAATTAAAATACAAATTGCATTGTAAATATAGTTAAGCCTGCTTGACCTGAAGCTTAGCTTTATTCTCTATCACATAGTCATAAGAATGCTTTTATTTATCTTTCTTTAAAAAAATCATAATGGCTGCTTATCATCTTTAGTTTCATCTACACAAATAGAGTCTTGTGTAGCTTATTATTTGGTAAAGTTATATCTTTTTACTGTAGCTTCTACGCTCAAAAAAATTTACATCTAATTTCTTTATACGTAAATTAAGTAACAAACTATGTTTTACATAAAAGTTAAAAAAAGAAAAATGAAAACAAATGGATTGCGCACCGAGGCATAATTTATTTCGAACTCAATATTTAAATAATAATACAACGTCTAATACAATTATAAGGATTCCTCCTTGTGTATTGTGATATGTTTCTCACATGTTTTGTTAGATATTATTTTTTTAATAGCATTTCTATTTTTATAGCAAAAAAATTTTGTTTTAGAGGCTTTGATAAAAATAACAATGATTGTGACGCTAGTGAAACAATACACGAGACGACTTCAGTTTATAAGGTTTGTAAAATGTCGTTAAAATTATTAATAATGACAGTTGTTTTGATGGCCACAATGTCTTTTTTTTTTTAATATTTACATTTACTGCCTAGTAGTGTAGTTGTAAATGATTTACATTTACTAGTAGTGTAGTTGTAAATGATTGATAACTGAGTGTTATGTTCTCTACTTACCTCTTTCTCTAAAAGTCAATCATTTTGCTTCGACTTCAAGCGTTACTGCATTTATTTTATATTTTAACTATTTTAGTTTTTTGGCAATGTTCCGAGTTGTAATACTTGCAAGTTATGGAACTTTGTTTAACTTGGCCCTTGTAGTGTGGAACAATGATGATTTAATCATAACAATTTGGTTAACACGAATGTTTGTTTACTCTTCATTGGTGCAGGCGTTAAAAGGTTTTTTTCGTAATGAGTTTATAATTTAACAAAGATATTTAACATCAGTAATATTTAACATACCCATATCTTTATTTAGGTCTGAAGGTTTTTTTTCACTGACCTTTATCCCTTTACTCTCTATATCCAAATATGGGGAGTTGCGTTGCACAGTGGGACAGGATGTACCTAAACTAACGCAACTTTCCGAAAATTTAATATATATGAGTGCAAAAGAATTTTCTTTGCAAAAATATTTTTTGCAAGTTTTTGTTGCCTTTTAATCTGACGATGGGAAGCTAAGAAAATATGGTCCAGTGTCATTAGGCCTGTATTTTTTTTTTTTTTTTTTTTTTTTTTTTTGAAGAAAAAAAATACAGCCCTAATGACTTTTCTTGTGAAGGAAGTATCATTTTATCAAAGAAGTTTTATTTCTATTTTGGTTAATATGCTAAAACAGTAAAAGTTTTTAAAAAAAATAATTCTTTCTTAGTAGGTAATGGACGTTGATAATTAAAGTTGTTTTTAATGGTTTTTCCTTCTATTTTGGGTAATATGCTAAAACAGTTAAAGTTTTAAAAAAAAAAATCCTCTTAGTAGGTAATGGACGTTGATAATTAAAATTGTTTTTAATGGTTTTTCGTTCTATTTTGGTTAATATGTTAAAACAGTAAAAGTTTTTTAAAAAAATAAATTCTTTCTTAGTAGGTAATGAAAGTTGATAATTAAAGTTGTTTTTAATGGTTTTTCGTATATTTGAGATTTGTCCCATTGTACATTGGTTATTTTAATGAACTGCTGGACACATCCCATTGCTTAAATAATTGAAACAGGCTTATATATTTTAAGTTTGCTTTGGATCCAGACCATCTAAGAAGAAATGAGAGGGGCGTTTTTTTACTTTAGTGAATTCAGACCTTGGTCCAGATCCTAGTTAAGTAACGAGGGGGCGTGGCGATTGTCACGTTTAAGGTGGTACACCACCAAATATTTTAAAATGTTCAAACTTAAAAAAACAAAGATGAATTTTATATTAATAAAAGTTTCATTAATTAATTTAGAATGCTTTTTTACTCTTCATTTTATTTTGCCTCGATTATTTTGCCTCGAATTTATCGAAAAATATTGATTTTAATGGGTCTATTCAAAACACGATAACTTGAAATATATTAACACAACATACATAAATTTTACATATGTTCTAGACATGTAAGGTAAGGTATTAACATTTGGATTTTATGATATTCCTAGTACATAAAAAATTATATTCATTTTTTATATCAAGTAAACAAACTTTTTTAGACCTTAAAATTTAAAAAAAAAAAAAGTTTGGAGCAGAATTTAAAGATTTCAAATTGTCATTCCCTAGAGAATAGTATAATAAACATTTCCTGAAAATTTGGAGTGACTAGAACTTCTGCTTCTCAAGAAATCATGTTTACAATCAGACAATGTTTCGCAAAATTTGAAAACGGAGAAAAACGCAAAAGAAGATTAAATATTCTTATCATTCCTATATAAAAATTTTTTAGTTAGTTAAGTTATTGAAAAATTAAAAGATATGTTGGGAATAAGCTTTTTATATTATTAATCTACAATAAATTGCCTATCAAATGAGCGAAATATCAAAAACTCGCTTTTTTTTTCAATTCTCAGAAAATAATTGGTGTTGTACCACCTTAAATCATAACACTTTTTTAGTTAATTTTTTTATTATATTAGTCTTACACCGTCTTAAATTAGTCTTACATTGCGTCATATATTGCTATCCCAATAGTCCAATTTTTTAAATTTATTAAAATTTCTTATAAGTTTTAAATAATCTCCCTAATTTACTTCAGTTTTTAAACAATTTCCTTTGCTAAATTTATAAATTTGCAAAAAAAAAAATTGGGGGGCCTTAGAAAATTTGGAAAGACTTCTCCTCCCTTCCTCCTTCCTCCACCTATGGATTCGTTCTTGACATTTCCCTAGTTGCCCTGTGATTCCACTTAATTTATATTTTAAGTTTTTTACGTTTATTCCACGACTTCTCATAAACGTAAAAAACGAAATAAAAAGTTTTGAAAAAACGTAAATAAAAAGAAATCTTGTTTCAGTAACAACACAGATGCCATTGTGTATCGCTGCAATATTGGTGTTTATCTCGACTGCGTCTCCTGCCGCCATAAGTAGTTTTGCTTTTTGTTTTATACAGTGATAGTGATGCTTATATAATTCAAATATATGTTACTTAAGACAATGAATATAAATATAATTTATGAAATTTTTCAAATATTTGTATAAATATATATTTGAGTAATTAATAAATATAGAAATTTTAATGTTTTTTTTTTTTTTATATATACATGTTATATATATATATATATATATATATATATTTATATATATATTTATATATATATTTATATATATATTTATATATATATTTATATATATATATATATATATATATATATATATATATATATATATATATATATATATATATATATATATATATATATATATATATATATATATATATATATATATAAGTATATATACTATAAATATATATTAGTATATATATTATAAATATATATTGATATATATATATATATATTAGTATATATATTATAAATAAATATTAATATATATATATATATATATATATATATATATATATATATATATATATATACATATATACATATATACATATATACATATATACATATATACATATATACATATATACATATATACATATATACATATATACATATATACATATATACATATATATATATATATATATATATATATATATATATATATATATATATATATATATATATATATATATATATATATATATATATATATATGTATATATGTATATATGTATATATATATATATATATATATATATATATATATATATATATATATATTAATATATTTAAAGTTTTATTTCTTTTAGCAAATTAATGGCGGTTTAGCAAATATTTGCGCAAGTAATTGTGATGCCTTATTCTATTTATCTAGCTTTGTGAATATATCTCTGAGGAATGTTTCAACCACTTCATCCTCTTTGTCATCGACAAGATTGCTGATTAAATCGGTATTAACATGAAATTTTTGACCAATAACTTCGGCAATTGCTTGCGCCCGTTCAAGTGCCTTGTCCATGGCCACAAAGGCTTCAAGAATGCGTTTGCCTGTTGATTTGCAATGTCCGACTAGGGTTTTTGCAATAAGCTTCCTAAGAGATCGAGCACTTTTTATATGCTTTTTTAAATACTTAACGTGGCGGCTGCTTAAATTGTCATCTTTCTCTTCAGAGTTTTCATCCGGTTTTATTAATTGTTTTTCGTCTTGTTTTTTAACTGTACTTAAATTATTAATATTGGATGTTTCAAAATTCTTAGTTGCATCATTGTTAATAGATTCGGTTGAAACTTTAAAAAGTGCTGATACTGTATTATCGTCTATTTTGTCTTGATTTATATCTATATCAATGGTGACAGGTTTTGACACTTTTTTTCGGTCCATCGCTTCTAGTTTCTCTAATTCGTCTTTTTTCTTTTTAATGAGCTCTTTCCATGCAATCATTCTTAGACCAGCAGGAAGATCGACCAAAAAACGGTCCGGTACTTTGTTATCATTAGCTTTCAGTAGCACAGATTTCAATGAGTCGATTTTTTCTTCCAGGGCTTCAGGTGGTTCACTTTTTTTAATGAACTTTGCCATATCTGAATCTACAATATGCTCTAAACTTATAGAATGTTGAAGAGATGATTTTATCTCATCTAGTTTTATTTCTTGAGTTGGGGGCGTTTCTACAGTCGTGTTATTTTTTAATAAATGCGTTTGATCTATACTGCTTCTTTTTTCTGATAGATTGGCGTCATCTTCGTTAACAATTTTAGGTTTCTCAATAGTTGATTTTTTTTCATCGTAAGTGAAGTTTGCGTTAGAATGGTTTTCTTGGTTTACATTTGTAATAGTAAATACAGGGGAGGTCATTTCGGAGGAACTTGTATTTTTATAGTTCAAAATTTCTACCGATTGATCTTTAAATTCGCTTTGATCATTCTTAGTTGATTTCTTTAAATCTTCTGAGAACTCCGACTTTTTGGAAGAATTAATTGTTTCTGGAATAATGCCAGCTGTCTCAGGGACGTGACTTTCGATTTCTTTATCTGATGTATCTAAAATTTGGTTCTTCATTAACTCATCGTTACTATCTTCTTTTTGCATTTTGTAACTTTCTTTTGTATCCTCTTTGTTTTTCTCTATACTATCCGCCATCTTACTGTCACTTATTTCTGCATTTTTTTGTAAGTGGCTGTTTTTTGCGTTAGTCAGCGTATCACTTAGTTCGCTATTTAGGCTCGAAATTTCATTTAATTCAATTATATTTGTTTTTTTTGTACTAATATTTAGTTTATCTTTAGGTTTGCTTCTGGATTCAGGCTTTTTCTTTCGACCTTTTGAACCTTTTTTCAAATTCTTCTTCTTTATTGTTATTTTTTTATCGTTTTTGTTTTTTTTCGGTAAATTTTTTATCCCTTCAGTTAATCCACTTTTTTTTCTATTTGCTTGTTTTTCTTTAACTTTTTGTAATGTTGCCAGCGCCAGCGCTTTTTTTGCTAATTTTCGGATATCACTCCTTGTTAGTTTGTTTCTTTTTGCAGACTCAATTTGTGAAAAAATTGAATTGATTTCTCCTTTAGTATTTTTAAAACTAAAAATCTTTTTCTGAGAGTTATCCGGTTTTTCTGTAATCCTCTTCACTTTAAGAGCAGAGGTTGCCTTGGCGTTAAGTTCGTTTACTTGCTCGTTCGAAAAACTTGGTTCCATGAGGTCTGTAAATTCTGTCACTTTTACTGCTTGTTTACTTCTCTTGCTTCTTGTTGAAATGTAAGGTGCTGACGCTACAGCCATTAGATCTGTTTCCAAAAAGTTGCTATTTATAGGAATTGGCAATAATGTGGCTTCGTTTACGTTTGATTCATACTGGTTTTTTAACTCGTCTACAATTTTATCTAAACGTCAAAACATTTTAAATACAAACAATTACAATACTTTTTAAACAAAAATTTTAACTTTAAAAACAAAATATTTTAAAATGCAAAAGTACAAGTTTAATTTTAAAATGCAAACATCTGATTATAAATCAAACACAGAAAATCGAAAACATTAAACAGTATAATAATCATAATATATTTACAAAGTTGTTTATAATAGTTAAAATAAAGTTAAGTAAAAATCTAATGCGTTGATGTCGACTGGAAACTTGATGTCGACAGGAAACTAACAACTCAAATACAGCGCTTTTTTTTAAAACAAACATCGTCGGTCAAAAGTCATTAAAGTTCGTCCATAAATTACGTCACGCTATAAGGGAGGAGGGGGGAGGTTGGTGGATTTGTGACGGTTCATACAAAACTTGCTACTTTAGTATTACGATTTTGTGACGAGAGGGAGGGGGAGGTCAAAAACGGTAAAAATTTGTGTGACGTAATTTATGGACGATCCCTTACCACTTATCTCAAAATATTTTTAGAAGAGACAAAAATCTGAACTGATGTTATGACTGTAAACTCACAATTACAAAAATATAATGTTCAATACAACTTAGCATTACTATTTTTACCCCCTCTTTAAATAAAGTTTAAATATTTAATTAAACATTAAGATTTAATGTTTTAATTAAACTTGAACTTACCCCCAAAAAATAATAGTCAATTTTGAAAATTAAATTAAATTTGGCTCACTTTTTTGTTTGTTTACATCAACAAAAACGTTTAATTTAACATTTTGATATTATCAATTTTAATATTAAATTTAAGTTTTAATTATTTGGCTTTATGTTTTCCAATAATTTTTTTCCGTAACATCGCCATAACAACCGGTATAAAAAATAGTAAAAAAGTTTGCGACTCAATTATCTATGAAATAATTATACAAAAGAACTGAAATTTTGTTCTTCATAGTGATAAAAAATAGTAAAAAAGTTTGCGACTCAATTATCTATGAAATAATTATACAAAAGAACTGAAATTTTGTTCTTCATAGTGATAAAATTCATTTGAGAAAAGGTTTTTTATATCTTAAATTTTTATCACATTATTCTTTGCTTGGCTCGCCTAATTTTGTAGAGTTTGTAAGTAGTTTATGCACCATTTCTAAAATATTCTTTTGTTCTTATTTATTTTCTCTCTTTCGTTACTATGTTTAACATATGTTCCAAGTTAAATGTTTTTTAGTAATTATTTCACAAAAGTTTGGTTATTTTTACTTTTTAACTAGGTAATCGAGGCAAAGATTTTTAAGTAGAAAATATTTTTTAAGAACATGTCTTAACCTTCATCAATTGGTTTACATGTTTTGTGTTATGCACTAAAAAATGAATTTATACTGGTATTTGATTTACAGGGTTTTAACATAAAAAGCATCGAAACATCAAAATATCATTTTTTTAAATACGTGGTAATGACTTTTTACCGACGACATGTTTATTATACGAAATGCTACTAACAGTTATTGTATGACTAAATTACGTAAAAAGTTGTTACCTAGAGTGGGTTATGACAGTTTTTTGCAAAAAATCGCGGTGATTGTTGCCTGAGAACAAAAGTATCCTTAAAGTTTGCAACTTCTACCCCAAATGTGTGGACAATAATTAAAAAATATATATATTTTTTATTAATTTTTTTATAATAAACTTCAATTCATCAACAAGTTTTAAATTTCATCTTATAGTGTTTAAAATAAAATTGTAAAATTCCCCCTATTTTTAGCGTTCGAAACTACTATTTAAAATTGTCCTCATTTTTAGTGTTCGAAATGACCGTGCAAAATTCCCCTCATTTTTAGTGTTCGAAATTATCATTTAAAATTCCCTTCATTTTTAGTGTGCGAAATTCCCCTACTTTCAAGGAAGAAAACTTTACATGGGCATAACCTTTTAAACGATGAATGATTATCAGATAAAATTTGAAACCTGTTGATTATTTTAAAATGTAGAAAAAGAATGTGCTTAAAAATGTATTGGCAAAGTCCTTCTTTTTTGAAAATCGAAAAAAAAATTCACAACTACATAATAATTACAACTTTTTAAACTTCATAATATAAGCAAAATACACAGCCTCCTGCAAAAGAATCAATTTAGAATCAGTTCATTATTTTTGAGGTAAATCTATAATTTATTGAATATAACATTCACAATTTATGTTATATACATGCATGTATATGTTATATACATGTATGTATATGTTATATACATGTATGTATATGTTATATACATGTATGTATATGTTATATACATACTCATGTATGTTATAACAAATTATATCTTAGCTTCATATATTTAATTTTCAATAAATTATGGATTTACCTAAAAAATACTAAACTTAAACTAAACTTTTGTGAGAGACTTCTGTACTTTGTGAGAGACTTCTGTACTTCTGTTACAAAAGGAATTTTTTTTATTTAACCAAATACCGTTAATTACATAATAATTAACGTTATGTAATAAAAAAAAAGTAACACATAGTTAAGAAAAAAAAAATTTAGGAAGCATTAATTGAATATATTAAATGAAAGACTTGATAAGATAGATTAGTGCAGTGGTTAGAGCGCTTGCTTTTTAAGCAGGAGATCTAGGTTTAAAACAAGCTTTGGACATTATTCGCATCACGGTTGGAAGGAGGCGTGAACTTCCTGGTTAAATGCACTTCCGCGGTGCTCTGTGACAAGACCGTTAGGTCTTCTTGGGGCACCTAAATAATAATAAAATAAAATAAGATTATATTTTTATAGGGAACTCGTAGAAAACTGATGTATGTTAAAAACCATCGAGAATCTGAATTATTTTTTTGCAGCATAAAAGTTTAATGTTATCATAAAGCCATAATAAAAAAATTGTTTTAAAAAGACTTTTCGTAATTTTTTAAAAACAAGTACCCTAAAAGGCCGCCTTTGCTTACCGCACTAACCAAAGTTATGACTATGTATTATTAAAATATTATTTAAAAATGTTTTAAAACCAGAAATAGTTGGTCGTCTCTTTTTTTTTTTTTTTTTTTTTTTTTTACAACAAAAGTAAAAATTGTTAAAACTTTGCGAAAAATTTTAAAAAACCAAAAGTTATGTCTTTGTTTTTACAAAAAATGCTTCTGTATTTTAAAATTTCAAAACATTGCTGTAAAGTTGTTTGGGTATACACTAAAAAATGCTTTTCATTTCTTTTCAATCGTTTAGACTTTTTTACGTTTTTGATAAAATCTAAAACTGCACTAGCAGATAAATATTAGGTGTCAAAGTGTTAGTGCTTTTGCCTAAATGTATCTTTTCACCAAATGAGCCGTGAGGCAAGCCACGTATGTACATTGTTGAATCCATTGTAGCGTATGTTTTCGATATGATGACTTCTGGAGTAATTGCCATAGTTTTATACTAGTACGGACGTGACGACTGTCAAGTGTACCGACATGACAGTCGTCACGTCCGCGCTAGTATAGCAACTGCTCCTAAAGTCATCATATCGAAAACATACGCTACAATGGATTCAACAAACACAGTAAATAAAAGAAGCGATCGTGTTTTGAAATGCGTCTTCGATGAAGTTTACAGCGAACAGGAAAAGTTTATCGCTCGACCTAAACTCCAGCATGGTGCACACATGTTGGGTCAAATGCTTCATATGTTCCCCACGAAACCAGGACAGAAGACTGTCTCAAGAGGCTGCAGTTAAAATTGTAGCCTCTTGAGACAAAAATGAATTCATCGAAGAATCTATTGTGAAGAACGTTTATCCTTTATATGTCAATAATGTTGGATAGAAAGTTTGCGCTGACTATCAGAGATTCATTAAATTCCGCAAACAAGAAAAAAATAAAAGTAGAAGTAAATGAGTTCAACGACAGCATGACCAAACACGCGTACAACATACGTACTAAAGACAAGTTGTACCAAAAGAAACTGGAGTAACAATTTGGCGTGACGATGACAGAAGAAGATGAACTATTCTATCAACATAACTGTTTCGGGCATTAACTTTTACGTGTCTCAGCACCGTGTTTAGGAAGTGGAGCAAACAGAAGAAACGAGTACACCGAAGTCTTTTACTAGCTGAGAAAAAAGCACAACGGCTTGATGACCACCAAACTACACGAAAACTGACGAAGCCTGCATCACCAGAATATGTTGACAGCAACTCTCCCAGTGACCAATCTATCATCTGCAGTGACAAGGCAAAAATCAGATTTTCAAATGCTGTCTACCTTAACGGTGGGCTCCTCTGCGCTAGATCATTGTTCATTTCCAAACTTGAAGGCTCGAACTAGTCGTTGCACTGTCAATAAACGGATAATACGATGCACAGTTCAGTACATTGCAGACTACAAGGTGAGCAGAAATGATTTCATTGAAATCATTTTGACTACAGTGAACGTAGTATTTGAACAGAACTGGTTCACCTAGAGGAATCTGATTATACCTCGGAGTTGGACAGTGATATCTCTGGTTCTGATGTACTGAAGCAAAGGCGTACATGCAACGATTTTACTTACATATTTTCCAGTCCACGATGTATTGATATGTATCTTCAAGACGCGGTGTTTCTGAACTTGAGCATGGCTGCCGACCTCATACTCGATAGAGGTGATTCAGTCATCACAGTATATCTGTATGACACGATCAAAGCAGCGGGCCATCGTATGTACAACATTAAAACCGAGCATATAACTATAATCAATTCAAATAAACAAGTCAGAACAGTCACTGCCGGCTAGACAGAAAATGCTAGTCATTCTGGATCAGATAGAGCAGAGTCGTATCGTTTCAGACTTAAATGCTTAGCAGCTTCAGCTGACGTTACGGTAGATGATATACTCGATTCCATAGACTTTTTCATGGCTGATCGAGATGAAGGCAACGCGATGTTACTAAAAAGTTTAGACGTGGGAAGTCAGAAAATCATCAATGGTTTCGCACATGTAATTTTGGGTGTGGGCATTGCTGTTGACATAGTATTCAGAAA